CCTAAATAATGGAAGAAAATGAAGCAGCCAGAAGGATCAGACTAAGCCTGAAATACAACCTGACAATGAAATTAAAAAAAAAAAAAAGGGCAACAAATGTCCCTTTGCAGCAAGAGGAGCTAAACGCACGGCACTGGGAGTGTATCTGACTGAGGCATCGTTGTGGGCTGGGTCTCTGCTTCCAGTGAGTAAAGAAGGACCTTGGGAAGGCTGCTGCGGGGCGCTTCTCTCCTTCGTCCTTCTGGACTGGCAGCAAATGATCAATCACTTCCCGTAGAACTTTTTGTTGAGAAGGAAGATGAGGAGGTTGACATTTACTTTAGCTCTATCAAATAATTTCATAACTGCAACTCCTTCATATTGCAGCTGTAGTAGGTCCTGTTCAAAAAAAACATTTTGACAGTTAATCATGTCTGTGGGATAAGAAAAGAAAAACACAATGTGGAGAGGGATCCAGGAGGAATGAGGCTGGCCTCACGTGCCAGCTGCGAAGTGGGGCGAGAGAACAGTTCAGGCTCAGGACATGTACGACTGCCCTGAGAGCCAGAGCAAGCACTCTGGTCAACGGGATCTTCTGGCTGGAGTGAGGAAGTTGTGTTGATGACATAAAACACACCAAACATAGGAAGAAAAAGAAGCGTGTTCAGTTATCGCACACATCTAAGCTTTTATATTTCAGGTGTTCCAATGACATTTTCCCATTTCATCTAAGTTATGGGTCACCAGTTTTAATAAATCTGGAAAAGGTGAAGGCATTTAAATCTATGATGAAATATATTAAATCACTGAGAACAAGACAAGGCTAGGAATGTCTCAATAACATCTATTAGATTCTTAATTTCTTTTTATTTTTTTTTTTAAAAATCTATTTAATTTTATCTATTCATTTATTTATTTTAATTTGACCAGCGAGAGACATAGAGAGAAAGAGAGGGAAAGTGAGAAAGCAGGCCACCAGGCCTGGGACTCAAACCGTGGTCAGCCATGGTGGAAATGTACAACATCTTAACCACCACGCCACCTGCTGGCCTCACAGATTCTTAATTTCATATGAGAACAGTTTTCTAGGCATGAGAAAATAGCACGAAATGTTTCTGAGGTGCCTGCCCTGTGCTCAGCCTTGTGAAAGCCTGTTACATAGCATCATTTTATGTCCTCAAAAATCCTAGGGGTATGACTACCCCAGCTTTAAAGAAGAGCTACTAAGGTTCTAAGACAGTGAGGGACTTGCCTAGCAGAATGGAGTCAGACATGGTTTTCTCCACCACGCTCCACCATCCGGAACACATTTAAGAAATCTGAGTGTGGGTGTGGTAGTTAAGGCAGCTGGACTCCCACATGGCTGACAGTGGTTCAAGTCCCAGACCCTGCCGCTTGAAAATTATACCAGGCACTGTGTGCACATGTGCCCAAAATCCCAGGAGGAAAATGGAGAAGAGATTATGGCGTGGCCATTGCCCCTGGGGAGTGATCTCTTACTTTCCCTCTCACTATCTCTCTCTGGGAGCACACATACCTTAAGGCAAAATCCTTGAAAAGAAAAATATAAAAGCTATTTGAGAGTGGTCTCATCCTAAACTTCATAAGCATGGTGATGAGAAAGCAAGCATCAAAGGGTTTGAAGGGACTCCAAAAGTTCAATCAATTCATTATTTGGATAAACTGTCACAGCTTCACGAGGCCAGGGACCGTGGTGCCTATGCCTGACATGTCACCTCGCACTTGGGGTCACTCTGCATTTGGAGAACATGCACATGAAATAACAAATCACCCTAGGCAGACTGGCTGGCCTGTAACAATCTGGTGAAATTGAGGGAATTAAAATAACTTTCATCTGGTGAAGTTCCTTGTACCTCCGTTAGTTATGTGCATCACAAAATCATTTCCTATTTGTTTAGCTAACATGTTTTGAGAGTCTACTGATTATTGAGGAGGAAACAAAGTGATTAAGAAACACTACATACTACCTGCCCTTGGGAGGACACCCAACTAAGAGGGAGCAATAGGTGCAAAAGCTCAAATGCACAATCGTCGGAAGGCACCTGCACAGTGACAGTGCAGCAGTCTGAAGACGCGTAAGGAACGAGGCAGGACCAGACCGCAAAGTGGCAGATATGCAAAGCTAAAGGAGTCTGGGCGTTACTCAGGAATCCTGCCAATGCCCTGGTATTTTTCAGGTGTGTAAAAAATTAGAGATGTTTCAAATTAAAAATTAGGGATAAGTATGTTACAAAATGAATCACTGCAGGTTTCTTTCGAATTTAAGAAGGGATTCCATTTACAATGATGCAATTTACACATGCCTTGTCAAAAATGCAGCTAACCTTTATGTACCTATATCAAATCCAAATGAGGCAAAGGAAGACATTCAAGATACTTAACTTATCATTCTTTACTGTCAACACTTGAACATTTTTTAAATGTTTTTAAAAGATTTATTTATTTTTAGGGACCAGCCATTGACATAATGGCTATGTTAACTGGATTCCCATGTGGTCGACCACGGTTTGTGCCCGGAACACAGACAGCCTTCCCAAATGGGTCTCCTTTTTATCTCTTTTTTCTCCCTTGAAAAGAACACATCTACCTACTTTGCACAGAGAGCTTCTGGTTCTACCTGGCTCATACCCACCTGATAATGTAACATAAAAGTCTCCATTTGAACTCCCATGAATTTGGCTTTGACTTCAAAGTCTCCAACTTCTTCTGTTGGGCTGATTTCAAAGATAACGTTTTTAAACCTGTTGAAACATAACATCATAAGGGTATGATTTTTATGTTCTCATACAAAAATATTCTGTGAAATGGGGAAAGGAGATGAACCTAGTCCTCAAAGATGAAAGAGGTAGAAAATGCAGGGCCAGATTACTGCAGAGGCAACAGCCTGGGAGCCACACTCCTGAGTACCACCTACCCTGAGACCCACAGAGGACAATGGCAACCTCCCCGCTACGGCACTTGCATTCTCCTGAAAGAAGAACCATAGAAGGACACCGCTGGTGGGCAATAAATGGATGATATCAGAGGAATTCCCTCGGTCTTCCATGTGGCCACTGCTGAAACATGATGATAGAAAGCAAAAGAGGAGGAGAATGGGCTGGAAGGAGAGGGAGCTAAATAAAGAATATACAAAAATGGGATTAAAGGATGGGATTATTTTGGTGCAAACAAATCAATCAAAAATATGATCAAACGGGACCAGCAGTTGGTGTAATGGCTATGTCGCTGGAGTCCCATGTAGTCGACTGTGGTTCGAGACCTGGACCCTGTGGCTTAAACTCACGCCAGGTGCATGTGCGTGCGTGCCCAAGATCCTGAGAGGAGAATGGAGGAGAAGGGATTGTGGAGTGGCCATCCCCCTGGGCAGGGCTGATTTCTCGCTTTCTGTCTCTGTCTTTCTGGTGAGCACACATACCCTATAGCAAAAACCTCTCAAAAAAAGAAAAAAAAGATCAAGCATTTCCATATAAATGTGTTACCACGTATAATCATGTAAAAGGTAAATTAAAGTGTTCTGTAGGAGAATGGGTAAACTATGGAATAGTATGTAAAATATGGGTAAAATATGGAAGAGCATCCTATTTTTAAAAAGAATTATTTATTTAAATTTATTTATTTATTTATTTATATACTTTTAAATTTGACCAGAGAAAGAGAGAAAGTGAGAAAGGAAGCCACCTGGTCCAGGACTCGAACTGTGGTCAGCCACGTGGGAATATCCACTGTCTCAACCACCACACCACCCACTGGCCCCTGGAATAATATCCTATTAAAAAGGATACTTTCAGGACTAGCAGGTGGTGGTGTTGTTAAGGTGACAGATTCTTGCATGGCAGATGGTGGTTTTAGTCTCAGACCTGACGGCCTGAAAATCCCACTGGGTGCATGTGCGTGCATGCCCAAAATTCCGAGAGGAGAATGGACGAAAAGGATTGTGGTGTGGCCATCCCCACAAGGGGTAATTATTCACTCTCCTTCTCTCTGTCTCTGTCTCTCACTCTCCAGGGAGTGCATATGCCCTAACTCAAAATACCTAAAAAATAAATAAATAAAGAATACTTTTGAAGAATATGAAAAATCCTCACAATATGTTAGGAGAAAAAAGACGGATACATAACTGTAAACAGGATTGTCCTGATTTAAGTTTAGAAAAAAAAGGAGTAGATAAAGAGAGTGGGTAAGAGGATGGATAGGCCATCTTTTTTGGGGGGTGGGGGGAGGTTTTTGCTATAGGGCACGTGCAATCATCAGACAGAGAGATAGAAAGTGAGAAATCACTCCCCAGGGGGTATGGTCACGCCACAATCCCTTCTCCATTCTCCTCTCGGGATCCTGGGCACACACGCACACGCGTCCGGCGTGAGTTTAAGCCACCGAGCCTGGGACTCGAACTGCGGTCAACTACGTGGGAGTTCACCGACATAGCCATTACACTAACTGCTGGTCCCTAGGTAGGCCATCTTTATGTGAACAGGGACACAGAACACACACTAAAATGATTTCAGTGGCTTGTGGGATTACAGGTGCTTTTTACCTTATTTTCAAAGCTCATCGATGAATATATACTTTAGAAAGAGAAAAGGAAAAAGTTTCTTTTTGAAACAAAAGAGGAGAAAGCTTGGCACCTTGAGGTCACGAGGCCAAATGAGCAAGGGCTCAATACATGCTTGTCAACGCTGCCGGGTCTGGGAGGGAAGCCACAGGTCAGGGCCGTGACCCATGTGCAAAGCCCACTGGTGCTTCCCAGAAAGAAAAGGAGGGGGCCAGCCCCGTAGCCTAGGGGTAAAGGGATTTGGATTGCACATGGCCAACCACAGTTCAAATCCTGGCCCTAGCAGCTTGAGAACCATGCTGGGCACATGAGGGTGTGGGCCAACGCCCCAATGAGGGGCTCTTTCTCCCTCCCTCTGTCTCTTTCTGATGAGTTGACACGCCCTCTGGCAATTTAAAAACAGAAAAACAAGAAAGAAAATGAGGGTAAGTTCCTGGTTCTTAGCTGCAAGTAGACTACAATAAACTACTCTTATTGTTATTTATTCTTGGTTCAGACAAAAGAAACAGAAAAAATAGCTTCTTACTTTGAGGAGGAAAAATTAAGGTGGGACCCACACAAATAGGTGTGAACATGCCCTGAAATCAGTGTTCCATTAATAAGGAAAAGAAATACTTTCTCTATTATGACAGACAAATTCACTGAGTTTGAGGCCTCATTCTACACATAATATATATGAAAGTATATAAAAAATACAAATGTAGCTATCCAGAAAAGAGAACTAAAGGGAAGAAGATAAAGATGTGATAAGTGCAGGGAAAAAACTCAACTTATAAAACAAAATTCAAAGGAAGTACTCACTGATTCACTTGCAGGTCCTCGATTTCCAGAAGGACTCCTTTTTCATGTAGTCTTGCTGCCGTATATTTCAGAGAAATCTTTTTGCTTTTCTTGCCTTTCATTTCCCTAGGCTTTTTGGAGACTCTGTAAAAAATCATAACATGTCACTTGCTGTAACTATCTTTACTGTTGGTAAACTGAGAAAACTTGGTCAGAAAATTCCAAGCTATAAGTATAATTAAGACACCAATTCTAAAATGGCAAACGAATGTTGGTATTAACCTAGCAATGTCTTTTACAAAGAGTGGAAACATCACTCGATTACTTCTGTCGTTAAATTATATGTGAGGGCATCCCATGAATGAGACAACGTCTTCATCCTTCTACATCTTTCTCAGAACCGAAGTACCTAGCCAATAAGTGTGAGAGTTTCCTATGCCAGCCTGAAGGAACGGTGCCAATCCCAGGGGTTAAGAGTCCCTAAAAGCACCTCAGGGACCAGCAGGTAGTGTAGTGGTTTTAAGGCTCTGGACTCTCACATGGCCGACTGCAGTTCAAGTCCTGGACCTGATGGCTCGCTTTATCACTTTCTTCCTGTCTGTCTCTAGTGAACATGTATGCCCTACAGCAAATTAAAAAAAAAAAAAAAAGTTAATTAAAAAAAATTTTAAAGTACCCCAGATACATAAGAAAAATAAAAAGTAGTTTTAAATTAACAATTTTTTTTTTTTGAGAGGTTTTTGCAACCTCTTCTCCTTCATTCTCCTCTTGGGATCTTGGGCAGGCATGCACACGCACCCAGCATGAGTTTAAGCCACCGGGTCTGGGACTCAAATCGCAGTCGACTACATGGGAGTCCAGTGACATAGCCATTATGCCAACTGCTGGTCCCAACAATTTTTTTTTTTTTTTGGAGAGGTTTTTGCTATAAGGTGCATGCACTTGCCAGAAACACAGAGACACACAGAGACAGAAAGCGAGAAATCCCTTCCCCGGGGGGGATGGCCATGCTGCAATCACTTCTCCTCCATTCTTCTCTCGGGATCTTGGGCACACACGTACATGCACCCGGCGTGAGTTTAAGCCACCGGGTCCAGGACTTGAACCGCGGTCAACTACATGGGAATCCAGCGACATAGCCATTACACCAACTGCTGGTCTCTAAATCAACAATTTATAAGAGTTTAAACTGGTGCAGTAATTATAAAGGAATGGGAGCAAGGTAAAAAGAAAAACATGTTAGGAGTCTATTATGGTAACCAAAGGAAAAACTGATAAGAAAAGCAAGTGAGGAAAAAATAGATATGAATGAGAACAAAGGATCTGGGACTCCCAAAGAGAGGGATCTCAAGGAAAGAGGACAGGGGGCCGGCAGGAGGTGTGGTGGTTAGGGTAGTTGGGACTCTCCCATGGCTGACTGTAGTTTGAGTCCAGGACCTGGCAACTTGAAAATCATACCAGGACCATGTGCATGCATGCCTAAAATCCCAGGAGGAGATGGAATTGCAGCATGGCCATAGCTCCTGGGAGGTGATTCTCACTTTTCTTCTAACTGTCTCTCTCTGGCGAGTACATGCCCCTTATGGCAAAAACCTTAAAAAAGAAAGGAAGGGGAAGGGGAAGTGAAGGGAGGAAGAAGGAAAGGAAGGAAGGAAGGAAAGGAAGGAAAGGAAAGGAAAGGAAAGGAAAGGAAAGGAAAGGAAAGGAAAGGAAAGGAAAGGAGGACTGGCCCCAGAGTGCACTGCTTAAGTGCTATGCAAAGGGAAAGGCAGGTGGATTCCACAGGGCCAGCTATGGTTCGAATCCTGATCCTGGCAGCAACACACCAGATGCATGTGCATGTGTGTCTAGGATCCTGACAGGATGAAGAGATGGGGGAACAAGACTATTGTGTGACTGGCTCCACTAGGGGGTACTTTCCCTCTCTCTGGCACGTGCACACACCCTCTTGCTTCTAAATACCACTTTCACTAAAAGGAACCAAGGAGGCTTAGAGACATAGTTCACTCCAGACCCGTGGAGGGGAAACTACAATGTGAACCTACAACGTGTGCCAGAAAGTCCAGAAGTACACCAAGAATGAAGGAGAAATGTCAAGAGGACACAAAAGTCAGCTCTGCAAACTGGGTTAAGGGGGGACTGTCTTCCATCCCTTTACATCGGCCCTGTCACACTCTAGGGGGGCTTCGATGGAGGGAGGGCAAAAGGGCGTTGGACTCCACATGGCCAACCATGGTTCAAGTCCCAGACCTGGCAGCTTGCTTTCTCACTTTCCTTGTCTTAATCTCTCTTTCTGTTGCTTGTTCACTCTGTCCCTCTCTGGTCCAATTAAAATAAAGTTAAAAAATAATTTAAAAAAATAAGTTAGGAAACATTATGAAAATTTGGGTTCTCTGACTCTTCTCTGCTCCTCCTAGGTGCAGGATCAGGGACTCTGAGTTCCTCCTGGGTGCGCTGCTCTCCCGGCACCTGCCATTGTCAGCATGGCCATTTTACAGAGGGAGTGAACACCCACACAGGGGTGGTGACAAACGAGGGTGCTACTTGTAGGAATCGTTTATTTTTCACTCCTCACTTTTCATTTTAGAACTTCAGAAGGGCTGAGTGAATAGAATACACCTCTCACTTACATTTACCAGTTTTTTATTTAATTGTAAGGTTTTTGCCATAGGGTGCATGCACTCATCAGAGAGAGAGAAGTGAGAAATCATCCCTTAGGGGGACAGTCACCCCACAGTCCCCTCTCCATTCTCCTCTTGGGATTTTGGGCGGGCATGTACACATTCACACATACCCAGCATGCTTTTCAAGCTGTTGAGTCCGGGACTTAAACTGTGGTCGGCCATCTGGGAGTTCATTTTTTTTTCTTTCTTTTTTTTGGGAGAGGTTTTTTTCACTATAGGGTGCGTGCACTCGCCAGACAGACAGAGAGAGACATAGAGACAGAAAGCGAGAAATCACCTCCCAAGGGGGATGGTCACGCCACAATCCCTTCTCTTCCATTCTCCTCTCAGGATCTTGGGCATGCACACACATGCGTCCGGCGTGAGTTTTAAGCCACCGGGTCCGGGACACGAACCGCGGTTGACTACGTGGGAGTCCAGCGACATAGCCATTACGCTAACTGCTGGTTCCCTGGGAGTTCATTTCTTTAGCTGCTATGCCACCTGCTGGCCCCGAGAGTCGCCAGTTTTTTTAACAATGACTCAAACCACAGAAAGCCAAGTGAAGTCCAGCATCTCAACCACTACGCCACCTGCTGGCCCCCTTTTATGAGTTTTTAACTTAGAGGGCCAAGAAGACATTTTGGAACAAGACATGGTTAGAAATAAGCATCCTTGACATCACCCACGCATTATGTACATCACATGCTAATAAATAGAAGTAGGCAATTACATTATCAATAAATGATAAGAAGCAAAATGATGCGGTGAAGAGACCCAGAGTACTGTAGGTGAAAAGTCGCCTCTATTTCTTTTTCCCAGCCTGATTTGTTTCTCTTGACTGATTCTTCTAAAAATACTCACTTGCCCTTGCTGGCTAGGTTATCCAGGCAGGTTTTGATATAGCTTTTATAGTAATCCACCTGCTCCCCATAAAAGGTGGCCTTTGAGTTCAGAGCTGCGTATGTTTGTTGCAGTTTCACCAGTTCAGCCTTTCTCCTCTGTCGGTATCGCCGCTGATTCCGGATATCCTGAGACATAATTATTGAAATTAGAAAAATAATGATGGGTATAGCATGTGCCTCTTAAAGCATCTTTTTTAAAAAAGAATTCTTTTATTTAACTTTATTTTATTTATTTATTTTATTTTGACCAGAGAGGGACAGAGAGTGAAAGAGAAAGAAAGAGAGAGGGAAAGTGAGAAAGCAAGCTGCCAGGTCCAGGACTTGAACTATGGTTGGCCATTTGGGAGTCCAGCACCCTTGCCACCTGTTGGCCCCAGCATTATTTTTTAAAAAAGAATTATTTTATTTAAGGGCCAGCAGGTGGCATGGTTTTTAGGGTGCTGGACTCTCACATGGCTGACCGTGGTTTGACTCCCAGACAAGGTGGCTTGCTTTCTCTCTTCTCTCTGGTCAAATTAAAATAATAATAATAATAATAGTAAATAAAGTTAAATCCACCAGGTTTGGACCTTAAACAGCAGTTGGCCATGTGGGTGTCTAGCACCCTAACCACCAGGCCAGCTGCCAGCCTCATAGCACTATTATTTAACACTGCAATCCAGCAATGCTTAGCTTTCCCTGGAACAAAACCACATAGCCCTAACAGGCAACAATCTGCCTTACAAATTAACAACAATCTTAATTACAAATTAAGGAAGAAATTCGGATCCCATCAATTTTGTTCCCCATTTGTATCATTGAGCAATAAGGGAATACGTTATTTTCAAACATCCATATTTTTAGAATTTACTTGCAAAGCTGATTTAGACTTCTTAAATATGCTGTCAAGTGAGAAACAGAATCATAACCTATCAATTACCATGTTCCCAGGTACATGTGGCACTATCTTAGCTCAACCGTAGAGAAGGCCTAAACTCTCAGCCCTTGCAAAAGCCCCTGAACTTTAGATGATTTACACCAATAAGAGACTTGGTGATCCACTTGGTGTGACTTTTTATTTCATAGTACTCATCAAAACAAGAGCTGAAAGAGGTCTTTAAGGTTAAAGATAAACTTAGACACAGGGAGCTCTGGTTAGGGTCTTTTCCTTATTAAGTTAGCCTGTGGAATAAGCCACCTCAGGATGGGCAAGGTCCTCAGGTTGGAGAGTCAGCAATGGATTCTCAGAGGATTCTCAGTAAGTTGACACTATGCTGTTATAGTGGGCCCCGAAACAGCTTTAAACAAGGCTGGACCATCACTGTCCCCAGACACAGTACCCTGGCAATGTCGTTGATCAGTTCCTGGTATTTGTTCTTGGGGTCCACAGTCCCAAGCTCTGTAAGTTTCTTTAAGCCCGTCTGGATCTTCTCCTTCTTCTCCTGGAGAGTGAGGTTGTTATCCTCCTTTACAGCTTTCGACTTTTTCATCTTGTCAGGGGTTTTGGCATCACGGATAGCGCGTCTCTGCATGGCCCGCTGATGCTCTGCTTCCTGTAGATGAGAAAAAGCAGCTCGTGGCAGGCTCACCACACTAATCCTAACCCCAAATGTATACAGCCAACCCATACCTGGGTTCAAGTTCTTAAACTACACCCCAGAAACAGAAGGGAACAACATTTTTGCCCTCTGACAAATGACAGCTGAGAATCTGCACGAAGCAGAGGCAGAATTCTTCCATCCATGAAATTACATGGCTTCTTGGGGCTTCTTTCTGGGACTCTAGGTGCAATCAGCAGACTGGACTCTACTGGCCACAGAATCTCAATCTTCCCTTTCACCTTCTGGGACATGGAAGCCATTTAATCTTATTCAAAACACAGCTTGATGAATGCTGTAACTACACTACTGCAGCACCTGTTCTCAGTAAACTCTTGCTAATTCTTTTTTGGCCACCCTTCCAAACTGAACCAAGCTCATGCCTTCCTCCTGCTTCCAAATACGCTGTGAACACCAGTATCTTCACATCGACTTTCCAAGTCACCGCTCAGCATCTGTCCAGCGTGACCCTGTCCAATTGAGGTTCAACACTTGCTGTTCGTTCTTTCAGTGTGTTCTCCCTTTAACTCCTTGCAGTCTGGCTTCTGCATGTAACTGCTCTCATCACCAATTACCACTCCCCCACCCTCTAGCCAAGGGGCAAAGCTGTCACCGTGCTCATCTCCTCTGCACTTTCTTCTTGCTCTAAGCACGGGTTTGGTACTTCCAAGTAACCCAGGGCCATTACTCTACCTTTTTAATCTTAATACTTCAATCAATGAGTGTCTCTATACTGACAGATCCCAAATCTTTGTGTTTGAAACCCCAGTGCCGTATTTTAACTATTTGTGCTGGGAGGCTTACATATGGCATGGCTTGTAGTTCAAACTTAAAATTCCTTCCTGCTTGAAACAATTCCCTTTCTTCTAATATCAACCTGACTTTACATCGCACAACGCAGAGAGCATAGCTTTGAAGTCAGACACAACTGGATCCAAGTGTGGTTCTGCCACGACAAGTCCAAGACCTCAGGCAAGTTATTTAGCCTCTCAGGGTCTTAGTCTTTTCATCTGCAGCACGGGGATGGAGAGACTCGCCCAGCAGGGAGAGTGTACGGGTGACATGAAAGAACACAGGTGAACGCGCCAAGTATCAAGCTCTCAGTAAACACTAGTTCTTCCTTCCTGGCTTCAACCTTCCTTCTGCCTTAAACTCATCGCAGTTACTGGGCATCCTCTGTTTCTGTCACACACGCAGCAATGAATAATTAGTCATAACACCTAAGAGCTGAAAATCACTTTAAGGAGTGATTTTCAAATAGTCCTGTATAGCCTTCAGGGTCTTCCAGAAGTACCAAAGTCCCAGAGGGCTGGGTTCCAGGTGCTCCACTCCTGGAGTTCCCAGAGCAGCCTAGTTTTACCTGCTCAATATACTGGGCTTTTCAGTAAGCTGTCATCTAACGAAAGGATTCTCATGCTTGTTAATTTGAATATGAATGACTTGACCTATGTTTCTCATTCTACAACTGAAAAGCAAGGGTCTTAGATGTGAGGTTTCTCAACCAATCCTTCTTCCCACTGTCACATCCTTCCCTGTCTCCCCCGTTGTCCCGGGACAACTATGTGACTCAACTACCATCTGCTCAGACAGCATTGCCAAATGGATCAATACCACACGGTCCTAAAGCTCCTGAAGGTTCTCCACTGCTCATCTCCACAGTGCCAAGCTCCTACCTAGCATCTGAGCTTTCCATAATAAGGTCTCATGTGTGTCTGTTTCTCGCCTCTCGCCTTCACCCACTTCTTCACTCTAGATGTGCGGTTCCTCCCCGCTCGCATCACACTCTTTCCCCCTCTGTACCCTGGCTTGCATGGGCACTCCCAACTAGAAGCACACCCGGACCTTCCTGTCTTAAATGCACACCCAAACTCTATCCATCCTTCCTAAGTGTGGCTCAAGTTCTGCTTCTTTTATGAGGCCTTCCTGACACACCACTCCTCACCGGCCTCTTTTCTAACTTCAGTCATTTTATATAGTCAATACCACAATTAATTTCTAATGGTTTTATTATTGTCTCAAGTATGTATGTCACGGATCAGGAGTTCGCTGAGTTCACCAGTCACAATCTGTACTTTTCTTCTATCAGGGTAGTTAGCAGAATTCCAATTTTATAATATTCAATAAATTATTGGATGGATTTGTTCATTTTATCCCAGGTTAATTTCACACACACACACACACACACACACACACACACACACACATTCACTCCGTATGTAAATGCCAGAGAGCCTCATGCCCTAAGAACATCTCCATCAGGATTTAGGGAACGATGACTTTTTCAGATGAGCCCTAACCATGACCACCCTTCAGAGACACACCCATGCTCACTCCCAGCTACCCTTTCTCACCATCTTCCTCAACCCTGGCATGCATTTACCACAGGAGAGCTTATCCACCTTCTGAAAGCGTAGGTTAAAACGCTGAATCTCACCTGTTCACTGGTGGCTGGTGTTTCCAGGATTTCAGTCAAGGTCTCTCCTGGCTGGAACCGGATGACATCCACAATTAAACGTTTTGTACTGAAATGAGATGGGGAAGCATTTAAACATGACGAGGTGTCCCACTTCTAAGCAGCAGCTGCCCCAACACAATCTCGCAGGGATTCCAACAGGAGCCACTGACACGAGGTACTCAGGGCCTAGGCGTACTTATGCGACTATCACAGAGCAGGTACCAGGACTGGGATTTCCAAGACTGCGATTGCATTTTAGCACAGTATTAAAATAAGCTAAGTCAATCCCACCTCAGTACAGGTGAAGTGTCCAGAGTTCGGACGAGCATGGAAAGCCAGGAGGATCGCTTCAGGTCTGACCCACAGGCTTGTTCGCCGAGCTCAAGGGGTCTTTGGATTATGTTCGCTTCATTCTTCCTGTCAGTACTCACTTCAGTAAGATGGTCCGAGCATCCATTTCTGCATTCTCATCCCCGGGCACATCAAACTTGTTGGTCAGCGTGAGAGATACTTCTGTCTTAGCCAACGCCTCCTTATTCGGGTCATTTACATTGCCAGCACCTTCCCCTGAGGTTTTGGGAGGACAGAAAGAATCAGTGTAATAAACAGTGGAGATGTTAGGGAGAAATTAGACTTGGGGTGGTCCCTTAGCCTAGCAGTTAAGGGAGCTGGATCCATGAGGTTTGAATCCCAGTCCCAAGGAGATTGGAAAAATGGAGAAGAGGTTGCAGCCTAACTATGCCCCATTCTCCTGTGTCTCTGTCTTGCCCTGGTAAGCACATGTGCTGTCTGGCAAAATTAAAGGAAAAAAAACTAAGACACTTGAATAAGCCAACACATACAGTATTTCAAAGATACCCTTTACTGAGAAATAAAAGATAATTAATGCTAAAAGATAAAGGCAAAGGTTGCAAAATGAAGCAATTTTACAAATGTCTGACAAATCATTTCAACACTATAATCCAATTCTCTCTCAAAATACTCTACTTCTTTTACAGTACCTATAATTTCTAATTATATAATTATCTGTGTATCTCTGTTTAAAATGATCTCTTTTGGGGCCAGCAGAGGGGACATGGTTGAGATGCCAGACTCCATGTGGCCAACTGTAGCTCAAGTCCTGGACCTAGCGGCTTGAAACCCATGCCAGGTGCATGTGCGTGTGTGCTCAAAATCCCCAAGAGGAGTAGAGGAGAAGGGACTGCAGTGTGGGTATCCTCCCTGAGGGTGATGTTTCTCTTTTTGTCTCTCTGGTCTGTCTCTCCAGCGAGTGCACATGCTCTTAAAAATAAAAACCTGAGACCAGCAGTTGGCGTAATGGCTATGTCGCTGGACTCCCATGCAGCCAACCGCGGTTCATGTCCCGGACCTGGTGGCTTAAAACTCACGCCAGGCGTGTGTGCATGCGTGCCCAAGATCCTGAGAGTAAATGGAAGAGAAGGGATTGCAACATGGCCATCGCCCCGGGGGTTGATTTCTCGCCTTCTGTCTCTGTGTCTCTTTCTGTCTGGCGAGCACACACACCCTATAGCAATAACCTCTAAAAATAAAATAAAATAAAATAAAAACCTAAGAAGATCTCTTCCATTAGACTTCGGCTCCTCACAGACAGAGATCACATCTACTATGTTCCTTAATGTATATGTGGAGTTTGGCACCATGGAAAAACAGGAGAGGTGGCAATTACAATGCTTTTCCATCATGGTCTCCCTTTCTGGGCAGTTAAGTCAGAACTTTACCTATCAGGGACTCGATGGTGGGCACCTCGCCAAGGTCATCCAGCAACTCATGGATCGGATCGTTGTGCTCTGGAGCAATGGCGTCCTGGTGATCTAACAGGAGCTGCATCAAACACCCAGTGATCAATTCCACTAATGCACTAAACCCTCACACCCCATTCCTGCCCATATTGCCTTGCAGTGATCTGTACAAAAGAGGTTAGACAATGGAGTTCTCACATTCAAAGAACTCCACAAACAAACCCAAATAAACAGTTTGTAAACGCTGCACAGGGCTCTATCAAATGACATCTTATGATGTACGGAGAGGAAATACTAGCACTCTTAACCTCATGACCACAGGAATTCAAATGTGTCCCGTGTAAGAATAGTAAAACCACAGACTTCAATATCCAAAGTCATCCAATGCACCATACTACCAGTTCAAAGGCTCCCATTTAGGTTTTACTTAAGGTATCCAGTATGCAACATCTTTTTTTAAAGAATTATTTTATTTAACTTTATTTATCAATTTGACCAGAGAGGGACAGAGTGAGAGAGAGAGAGAAAGCAAGCTACCAGGTTCGGTACTTGAACCATGGTCTGCCATGTGGTAGTTCAGTGCCTTTAACTACCACAACACCTGCCAGCCCCATACACAACATCTTTAATTCAGAGAAAAGTATCCCAGGTCAGTGATATCATCTTAGGGGCACCCAACAAAACCTTGAAGGTGCTATTATTTCAGGTGATATCCTCACCGCGGTTCATGTCCCGGACCTGGTGGCTTAAAACTCACGCCAGGCGTGTGTGCATGCGTGCCCAAGATCCTGAGAGTAAATGGAAGAGAAGGGATTGCAACATGGCCATCGCCCCGGGGGTTGATTTCTCGCCTTCTGTCTCTGTGTCTCTTTCTGTCTGGCGAGCACACACACCCTATAGCAATAACCTCTAAAAATAAAATAAAATAAAATAAAAACCTAAGAAGATCTCTTCCATTAGACTTCGGCTCCTCACAGACAGAGATCACATCTACTATGTTCCTTAATGTATATGTGGAGTTTGGCACCATGGAAAAACAGGAGAGGTGGCAATTACAATGCTTTTCCATCATGGTCTCCCTTTCTGGGCAGTTAAGTCAGAACTTTACCTATCAGGGACTCGATGGTGGGCACCTCGCCAAGGTCATCCAGCAACTCATGGATCGGATCGTTGTGCTCTGGAGCAATGGCGTCCTGGTGATCTAACAGGAGCTGCATCAAACACCCAGTGATCAATTCCACTAATGCACTAAACCCTCACACCCCATTCCTGCCCATATTGCCTTGCAGTGATCTGTACAAAAGAGGTTAGACAATGGAGTTCTCACATTCAAAGAACTCCACAAACAAACCCAAATAAACAGTTTGTAAACGCTGCACAGGGCTCTATCAAATGACATCTTATGATGTACGGAGAGGAAATACTAGCACTCTTAACCTCATGACCACAGGAATTCAAATGTGTCCCGTGTAAGAATAGTAAAACCACAGACTTCAATATCCAAAGTCATCCAATGCACCATACTACCAGTTCAAAGGCTCCCATTTAGGTTTTACTTAAGGTATCCAGTATGCAACATCTTTTTTTAAAGAATTATTTTATTTAACTTTATTTATCAATTTGACCAGAGAGGGACAGAGTGAGAGAGAGAGAGAAAGCAAGCTACCAGGTTCGGTACTTGAACCATGGTCTGCCATGTGGTAGTTCAGTGCCTTTAACTACCACAACACCTGCCAGCCCCATACACAACATCTTTAATTCAGAGAAAAGTATCCCAGGTCAGTGATATCATCTTAGGGGCACCCAACAAAACCTTGAAGGTGCTATTATTTCAGGTGATATCCTCGAGAGTGAGTACCTGAAATTTCATTCCTATTTTATGTATGTCCTCATTTCTTGTACAGATCCCCAAAGGGGAAGAAAAAGAATTATTTTTAAAAACCTAAAGGGACCACCGAAGGGGAAAAAAACCACTCTAAGGTAACAAAGAGGGAGAGGTAGAAAAATAACATGGAAGGGTGAGATAAAAAGAACAAACTGAAAAACACTCTAAAGTCACAATGTAGATTTTGTAGCCGTGCCCTGGGGATCCTGACTCAGTGGGCTTCAGGGGTCCAGGAGACTTCCTTTTTAACTGTCAGCCTAGGGGATCCTACTGCAGGTGGCCCGAGAATACCCTGTATCGACAGAGCCTGAGCAGTAGACAATGGCAAGGGAAATAAGCCAAGAATGGAGACCACGAGGAGATGTGGTGTCAGGAAGATCACAGGAAGAGGAGCAGCTTGGCTGTCATAGGTGCTAAGCAGCAGCCGGGGGAGGTAATTACGGGTAGAGCAAAGAAATTAAGTAATTAAAGAAAAATACTTACAGTGTGGGTGTTGATGATTTCGCCAATGGAAATGTAGATAACTGGTTTGGTGAGGGTCACTAAATCAGAGTACTCATCCACATTAAACTTATCCTGAAGCTCTGGGACATCACACGCAGTTTGAAAAAATCGTCTGAAAAAGAGCACAGGCGACAGTCCCCACTTAAGTGACATACGCGTGCAGAGTTGGCGAGAGGGCGGTCCACGAACCTCTCAAGCAAGGAGTTCAAAACGAAAATCAGTGCAGACGGTTAATTCTAAAGCAGCTGCTGTGTTGGCTACTTGGCAGCTTTGGGATATTGGTTCTAATAACTTTTCTTTCCAACTAGTTTTGGTTTTATCCATAAGAACAACTCAACCATAATTTAAAATAGTTCTTAGACACCTGAGCCACCAGCAGAACCAATTTTATCTCTCAGACAGTGCTTGGAGATACTGATTTCAAAACTAAATGTTCTGGGGCCAGTGGGTGGTGTGGTGGTTAAGGCGTTGGATTCCCACATGGCTGACCACGGTTTGGATCCTGGATCTGGAGACTTGCTTTCTTTCTCTGTGTCTCTCTGTCCTCCTCTCGTCTCTCTCAGGTGAGTACATGTGCCCTGTAGCAAATTATAAAATGAAAATAATAATAAATTAAATGGATAATTCTTAAAGAGAAAAACTAAATATTAATTATAAATATTGAAATTTGTAACCTACAGCACAGAAGTTAAGCACAGTATGGGAACCAGCAGTTAGCGTAATGGCTATGTCGCTGGACTCCCACGTAGTCGACCGCGGTTCGCGTCCCGGACCCGGTGGCTTGAAACTCACGCCGGGCGCATGTGCGTACGTGCCCAAGATCCCGAGAGGAGAATGGAGGAGAAGGGATTGCGGCGTGACCATCCCCCCGGGGGGTGATTTCTCGCTTTCTGTCTCTATGTCTCTCTCTGTCTGTCTGGCGAGCGCACGCGCCCTATAGCGAAAAAACCTCTCCAAAAAAAAAAAAAGAAGTTAAGCACAGTACATTAACAGGTGGCTCCCACATGGCAGAGCCCATTGTAACTCCTGTCCCAAAAGGTTTGAGGAACACAAAGGGTACACACGTGTGTACCAAAAATCCTGATTAGGGGACCAGCAGATGGCATAATGGTTACATCATTGGATTCCCACGTGGCTGATTGTGGTTTGAGTCTGACCCAGAGGCTGGAAACTCATGCAGGGTATGTATTCCCAATATCCCAAGAGGAGGGACTGTGGTTTGGCCATCCCCTGTGATTTCTTGCTTTCTGTTTCTCTAGCAAATGCACACACCCTATAGGAAAAATTTCTTTACCAAAAAGAAAAAAAAAATCCTGATGGGAAGGAGGGATGGTGAAAAAGGAATGTAGTATGACCCACTGGGGAGGGCCCGGGCACATGTGTGTGTGTACCCAAAATCCTGACGGGAGAATGGAGGAGAAGGAATTGCAGCGTGGCCATCTCCCTTGGAGGGTGATTCCTCGCTTTCTGTCTCTCTGGTGAGCCTATGCAACCTCCGGCAATTTAAAAAAAAAGGCAATCTCTAATTTTTCTGATTACAAAATAATACATGCCTACTGCACACTCACTGTTTTTATATTATGTACTGTCTATTTCACATGAAAATCATCTTCAAAACGATTGCATCTTCTTCTTGAGTCCTGAGAACGTCCAACATGCACTTTATACTATGGCCGACGGTGGAAAGCTATGGGCAGTATTTAAACTTGTCTTTCTCCTCAGAGATAAAAACAGGCCCACAGAATGTTTCAAGGACCTTGTTCCTTTCCCCTCACCTGAATTTCTGGTAGGACTGGGAAAGATACTCATTAATGATGCTTAAGTGAGCATTATCTCCCAGAAACATCTTATTGGAAGCGGCATGCTGGAGCATCTTTGCGATGGAGCCCAGATTTCGGCGCTGGTCTGTGGTCAGCTGGCCTCCGGCTGACAGGTCGATGATGTCAAAGGCATCGGGAGCCACAATGGCTGGATTCATGTATCGGTAGTAAAGCAAGTTGCCAATAATCTGGGAGACAGGAAACGGCAAGATAGGTATGGAAAACCACAACACTGAACAGGCCACAGGTGACTTTGCAAGCAAGAAAACCAGAAATGCACTCCTGTGTGAGAAAAAATAAATACAAAACACACACATGCATCCGTGCATGCACACGCACTTTCTCTCAGGGTCTGGCACTAAAAGGACCAAACGTCCCTGCAAAATGAGAACAGAAATGAAAAGCGCTACCAGTAAGTAATGAAAGGACAGCGTCAGAAGGTAAAAATGACAGACTTGAAGTCTGTTCTATTGCACTCTGGGGAAGCTCTTGGTCACATGTCATGGTAGCAAATAAGGCTGCTGTCACTCGCATGCACATTTTACTTTCATTTTAAGACGCTAACACTCATAGCTAAAGTAGGTCCTTAAATATGACCTAATTAGCATAGTGTAATCGTCCCACCCCCATCATCTTCATGCTATCGACTTCCAAGACCAAGTTCGTGCCTCTGAAGTTACATTCATTCCACACACATCTCTTTTACAGGATTCAAGGACAGTCACAGCATTTCCCTAGGGTTTCATTCAGAAAAAATAAAATTAATTCACCTGCATAGAAAGTCTAGAATCGAGGCCTCAATGTAGGAAAGCACAGAACTAGGAGAGAGAAGAAAAAAGCGCTCAGATTAAAAAAAAAAAGAAGAAAGGAGCATAGTTAAGAAAGAGTTACCAGCAACAGCTTTAGCAGAAATAATGGTGTTTGCTACCATCCACCTGGCCACCAGCAGAGGGAGCAACTGTTCAGTGAAAAGACAGGACTCAAGAAATTTAACACAAGATAGGAAAACTGCACCTTTCTCAACTTGTTTGATGTTTCAGATGGCATAAGATACAGTGCCATTCAGACCATATAGGAACTGTTTCCTACTAAGAGAGTTATCATTTACTATTTAAAATTGCTTTCAAAAGCTCACGATCAATGGCAAGCTACGGCCAGAATCTACACTAATGGTCTAATGGCTTTGTTTTGTAGTTTTTCCTCAAAGGGCTATTGGAAGGAGAGGATTCTGCCAGCTTTCAGACTCTTACCTTCAGTAGCTCATCCTCACCAGCATCAGGGAACTTCTCATGCAAAGAGTCCTTCAGCACTTTGGCAATGAAGCGCATCCCATAACTGTGGGGAGGATAAAACTAGTGAGAATGGACAAGGAGCAGGAGGCACCAACGCCAGGCTCTCTCAGGGGTCGCAACAGCTGAGGGCACTCACGGGATTTTGTCCACAGAGCTGATGATGGCCGACAGGAACTTGTCTGTCACAGCCCGCATGTTCCTGATGGAGTTGTCTAGCCGTGTCTTGACTTCTTCATGAGCCAGAGCTTGCTCAGGGGTCACATCATAGGGCAGTTTGCTGGGAAAGCAGAAAACAGTCCCAGCTATGTTAGACCAACGGCCAGGAACGGCCTGAGGCAGGAACTGTATCTTTTGCAAGCGTTAAGAGCCAGAGAGATTAGGCAACTTAAGCTCATGCTCACAGAACTGGTTGAGTGGTCAGACTAGAATGTGGTAGTTACACTGTGGCCCTGGCACAGTAACTCTCAGTAATACGTTAGTCTAACCCTGGCCATTGCAGGGCAGCTCACCAGTCACCCCACACCATTTTCTCTTTCCCCTAATGAAACACATTGATCTCAATCAGTATGAGCGTTCCCATTCAAATGCATCTCCAGCTACGCCTGAGGTCTCCTCATCTTAGAGTGTTCACACACGAACCTCCGCACCAAGTGCTTGGCAAGGCTGGCCCCATCTCACCCCACAGGCCTCAGTTAAATGCCATTCCACCGTCTTAGACGGCCTTTCCTCAACCACCCTATCCTCATTAGCTCCCTCTCGTATTTTCCATTACAGCACCCTACATAAAACTTCCCTCCATTTGTAATTATACTTTTATTTGTACGTTTGTGGTGGTTGTCTCTCTTACCCAATAAACTGTAAAGAGAGGGTAAGGAACATGTGTTTTGCTCATTATTATACGTTTTATTCATAAATGCATTCTTATATCTAACAGAATGCCTGGAACATAATAAAATAAACTAATGATCTCATTATAAGGTCAACAATTTAAAGAATAGTTTTCTAGGGAAAATCATTGGAATTCTTCGTATATCATTAACTGCATTGAAAATAAGAGAAACATGAAAGGAAAGTGTTATGGTTATCATACCTTGCTTCTCCTGTCTGCGATTCCATCTGATTAACCCAAGATTTGTATATATCCACTGGGTCAGTTTTGATGTTGAGAGATTTGTCGTCCATGATCTCCTTCACAACTGGGGCCAAGATCTGTCTCAGGGCATTCTGGCCTCGGGCACCCCGGTTGAAACTTACAACCATCTTAATAACTGTAGGATTTCCTGTCACAATCTCTTGAATCTGATCTACCTTTGACCTACAAAACATTGGAGACAAATTCAATTTAAACTAATCAAAGACGCTACGAACTAGCAGAGCCTTCCTACTTAAAGGTCCCGTCTCCTGGAAGCACAGGAACAGTCCCCAGCACTCCCAGGACCTATTACAGTTGCACATGCAGTCGTGGCAGTGTGACAAGGGCCTCTACCAGGTGAGAACTTGGCATCTTTGTGTTCTCATCAGTTTTTTTTCCCTTGATTTCATCTTAATATAGAATGTTCCTGGGCAAGCCTGTGGCCCAGTAGCTAAGGCAGTTGAATCCCACATGGCCAACAATGTGGCTTGAGTCCTGGACACAGTGGCTTGAGAGATGTGCCAGGTGTATGTGAGCCTGGGATCCTAAAAAAAGGAAGAAATGGAGAAGGGAATGCAGTGTGATTATGCTTCATGGGGGAGGCTTGCTCATTCTCTGTCACTCCTCCCCAGGAGTACACATGCCCTCTAGCAAATTAAAAAGATATATATTACACCAGGAAAGTCATGATGTATTTTCCTATGCAAAAATAGCTCATGACTTTCCCAACAATTTGTGTGTGTGTGCGTGTGTGTGTATGTGTGTATTTTCCTAAAATTAATTTAACAAATCTCTTATTCTATCCCTTCACCAGAAGCAGAATACTTTGGCCCAGCCCAGAGTGTAGTAGGTGAGGTGACCGAATCATAACCATGTGGTTCATGTCCTGGACCTGGAAGCTTAAAAAGACATTCAGAGTGCATGTGCTCATGTGCCCAAAATCTCAAAAGGAGAAATGGAAGAGAGGAGACAGCAGCATGGCTATCTCCTATGGGTGGTGATTTCTCACTTTCTCTCTCTTTCTCTCTCCAGTAAGCACAAGTGCCTTCTAGTAAATTTTTTTAAAAAGTCAATGTTTCTTTAGAATATTTCTCAAAAATTAATTGGGATCAAGGGAGAGTCTAGGCAGGCCTGAATCTCAGACCGTGAGCCTCTATCACAGTGGGAAGGGCCCCACGCTCCACAGAAATCTGTCCATACTTGATTTCCTCCTGGAGCGCCGTCTTAAAGAGCCGTAGCAGCAGGTACTCCTCTCGCTGGTTGGATGCATAGTTGTAGAGTGTGAAGATTACAGAGTCCATGAACTTGGTGGACTTATTCTGGGGCATCTGGAAAATCAGCTTGGCTAGATAGGTGGGATTAGTCTACAATAAAACCAAAGGTCAGTAATGTCTAGAAAATATAAAGGCTGGCAAACAAAAAGAAAGTTTTTTTAAGTATTATAAACTTGAAGGATTAGCACATTCATAAGTAAATAAAAATAAGACAGCCCTTCTCACACCCTCACTGAAAACCAGAAACACTTCCAGAGAGATCCATGAGTAAGTTTTCTTATGGAAAAGTAAAGTTACTTAAATTTTACAATACCAACTCCAGGAGTCACTTACCTGCAATAAATAAAACAGGTGCTGATAAGCTTCCAGTTTTTCTCGCTTCTCCTTGCTCAAAGCTTTGAGACCTCCCTTCTGCTTGTTTATCATCATCATGTCAGACAACTGTTCCTTATTCTTTTTTGTAAGCTTTTTACTGTGGGAAACCACATCCTAAAAATGAAACCCAATACACAGATCGAAAAGCGTTCCAAGAGGGAATGGGCACTGCAGAAAGGTCTTCCTAGACCTGCCATCCATCCTGCCGTCGGTCTACGACAGCGCGGATCATTTCAGAACTGCTGCACTGCATCTCACTGTCAGTACACCAATTGAATCCATTCTACTTCCACCTTCCTAGGAAGAACCTGAGCCATAAAAATGTTCAGGACAGGGACCAGCAGATAGTGTAATGGTTACGGCACTAGGCTTCCATATAGTCAACTGCAGTTCAAGTCCTGGACCTGGCACTTAAATGCTATCCAGGCACATGTGTGTGCGTACCCCAAATCCTGACAGGAGAATGGAGGAGAAGGACTTGCAGTGTGGCCATCTCCCCTGGAGGGTGATTCCTTGCTTTCTATCTCTCTGGGGAGCACACACACACACTACAGCAAAAATTTCTCAGGGAAAAAAAAAAGTTCATGATACAGGAAATCAACTTCTAGAAATTTATCTTAAAAACAAGTCTTGGGGGACCAGCAGTAAGTATAATGGCTATGTTACTGGACTCCCATGTAGTCAACCGTGGTTCAAGTCCCGGACCTGGTGGCTTAAACTCACACCGGGCGCATGTGCGTGCGTGCCCAAGATCCCAAGAGGAGAATGGAAGAGAAGGGATTGCAGTGTGGCCATCCTCCCAGGGGGCAATTTCTCGCATTCTGTCTCTCTATCTCTGTCTTTCTGGCAAGGGCACGTGCCCTATAGTAAAAAAAACCTCTTTTAAAAAAAAAGTCTTAAATACAATAAAAGCTAAATAAACAGAGATGTTAGCTACGATACTATTTATAAAAGCTGAGAAAACAACCTATAATAAATATAAAAATTATTATAATTTTTATGATAATTATAATATAATTATAAAATTTTTATTTATTTATTTATTTTTAAAGTTTACCATAGAGTGCAAGTGCATGCCAGATGATGACAGAGGAAAAGAGAGGAAAAGTGAGAAATCACCCCCCAGGGGGAAGGCCACACTGCAAGACCTTTTCTCCTCTTGAGATTTTGGGCATGCACACATGTATCCAGTGTGATTTTTCAAGCTGACAGTTACAAATCTCAAACCACACAGCTGACATGTAGGAAATTCAGTTGCCTTACCCTCCATACCACCTACTGCCCGTTTTTTATTTTATTTTTTTTTTATGTAACTGTAAAAACATTTACTGGATTAACTGAGAAAAAACTCAGCCTCCACCCTCCCCCGAGTCCAAAAGTGGGAGGCAGGGGATTCAGAGTAGATGAAGTGTTCTGAGGCCACCCTGGCACTGGGCTATACCTGCAGTGTAATTTTATTTTTCACCAGTAGTCCGATTTTGATATCCATGAGATTGAGGTCATTCTCTAGCTGCTGGTTAGAACGAATGAGGGTGATGACCTCTTCCCGCAGCTTCATAAGATCAAGCTCCTCCTGAAAATCCTGGTCGCTTTGATCCAGCAGGTGGACAAATTTCCGGACCACAATCATAGGAGGGTCCTCAGCATTGACTGACAGAAAGAGAGTATGCATCAGACAAAGAACAGTGTTACCAGACAAGGTTCTAAGTCTTGAGGAATTTCACATTACCCTCAAAGAGGAGCTCTAGTCACGTACAGGGTGAATGTTTATTTGCGTGATGTGCTAAGACAAACATTCAAGTGCCATCTTTTCAGTCATGCTCTCACGACATTATGACAAAAGGCTAATGCGGCAAGCAACGAGGTATCAGGCCACATGCTAGCAACGGGACTTGAATCACAAGTAGCGCCCTACCCCCCAAGCCTCGTCTTCAGGACAAGAAAAGAGATCCGTGGAGAACACCCAGAACCTGCGGGCTCTCAACCACTGCCTCAATCCTTCACTGCGGAGTTACTCACTGAGAGTCTTGTAGTCGTCACGAGCTTTGTTTGCCCGAATGAAAGCCTGGATTTTGATAATGTCATTTATCTGAGGAATCAAGAAGAAAAAATTATTTTGTTCATCTATCCATGAAAAATACAGCAAAACTGATTCTACCAGACATTACTGCCAGAGGGTACTTACATGGTCTCGGAAATATTGCAGGCGGTCTCTGTAGCGCTTTCTGGCCTGATGCATCCTTGCCAGGGACTGAATCTGTGGAACAGGGATCCTGGAGGTTAGAAGAGTCCTTTGCCTCAGCGCCTGCTCACACCATCCCCCGAGAAACCCCCCTTGGGTCACGTACCTTGACGACTTCGTCTTTATGGGAGCGCAGGTATGCCAAACGATCTTGATATGCCTTCTTCTGCTTGTACCCTCTCCACTGCGACTGAAACCATCAAACATCACACGTGACACATTACTTCCCAGGGGTCAACAGAATTAAAAAAAAAATCTCATCTTGATATATTATCCAAGCACAACTTCATGATGAAGCTTTTAGAAAGGATCGTTTCCAATAGGACGAGGAATGAGGACAGGGGCTGTACCTCTCCCAGGAGAAACCCTGGCTAAATTCTCCATCCCTGATGCTCGCACAGAACTTCATCCGCTAAAGCGCGGTCAGGTTCCCTCACTGGCTCCTTGTAACACTTCAGGTGATGAAGACATGATAAAGACAGGTATTCCCGTTTTACAGATGAGGAAACAAATGGAGATTCACCACTGTGGCCAACAGCGGAGCCACAATTCCTAACTCAGAATTCTTTCTGTGGCACTGAGCTACCCTCCTGTTGGAACAAAACCACAGCTGTTTCCCTCAAGGTTCAAACCTTAGAAGAAGAGAAGACGCGGTGCCAAGGACTGCACCTGTGCCACCGTGAAACACCACTCTTTAAGTACAGCATGGCAATAAAGAGAAGGTGCTTGTCAAAAGAAGGATGAAACTAAGAGGTCACAAGTCAGAAAACACACTCCAACACTCAGTTGTCGGCATGGCCGCTGACTGCCCCTGCTGCAGCCACCCACTTCCTGCTAGACGGCAGGCTCTGGAATACCTGGATGCAGGTGATGGCGGGGATTTGTTTCTTCAGGAAATTCATCCTAGAGCGAAACTCCTGTCGAACTAAGTATCCACGGCAGCGAGCCTGCAGCCTGGTGATCAGGCCCTCGTTGGCTAGCCACAGCTGTTCTCGGTTATATGCAGCAGTCACCCCCGAGATGGAACTCTGAAATGCATCAGGTTAGGTTTGGAGACATGGGCAGGCGAGAATGAACGTAAACTTTAACACAGCGTCACCCGCATCACACAAACGAACCCTCACTGCTTTCTAAGTCTACGCTAGAGCTCTAGTTAAGCAATGGGAATGAAGACCTCAGGTAGGTTTTCAGCTTTTTCTCAGATCAAAAACTAAGAACGTAATTTTCTTTTACCTCACATGCGGTCTCACACACCACCCACCTATCCAACACTGACAGGCTAAGCACTGAGCTAGTGGGTCTGATGTCACCGTTGACAAGAAAACAGTGACGGGTACCAACAAAGGCTGCGGACCAAGTTCTAGGGGCTCACAGAATGCCACTGTGTGGGACATGTCAGGAGGAGTGGCCAGAGGTGAGGCCTGAAAGTCTCTTCCCTGGCAGAGTGTGGATGATCCCAAAAAGCAGTTTGCCAGGTTTGGACTGTTAATACAGATACTGGAGAGCCAGCAAACTTTCAAGTAAAAGAATAAAACCACCATGTATTTGTAGAAATATGGCACTGTTTGCAGAGTAGCTGACAGGTTAGAGTGACTCAGACCTGAAGTGAGTGGGTGGATTAGAATGCTACCATCACAATCCAGAGGACCTGGTTCGAGAAGGCCACCAGCAGTGAGAAAGCTTAGCAAGAACACCTGCTGCCCACCTAGTATCTACACGGTAAACACTATGTCCTCCTCTTTCCTTGGTATGAGTCTTGATTTTTATTTTTTCTCAAGAGGTTTTTGCCTAGGGCACATGCACTCACCAGGGAGAGACAGACAGACAGACAGACAGACAGACACAGTAAGAGGGAAAGTAAGAAATCACCCCCCCCCCAGGGGATACGGCCATATCACAATCCCTTCTTCTTCATTCTCCTCCTGGGATCCTGGACATGCACACACATACGTCTGGTGTGATTTTCAAGCCATCAGGTCCAGGACTCGACCCATGGTGAGCCATGTGGAGTTCAATGATGTAACCACTATGACATCTGCTGGCCCCTCAGTCTTGACTTTTTTTCCCCTGGGCAACCACTATGCATTTAAAAGATGACTGGGCTGGAATGACTCATGCACTAGGCTAAGTTAGGCCTTCGGGAAACACTTTAATGACAAGTCAGGCAGCTGGCAGCATGCCTTGTTTATCTGTCTTCTGCTCTTCCTACTTCCTGCCTGGACTAACCTGATGGTCCAAAGTCCAAGCTGTCATTGTGGATGACAAGGTGACCTGAAGAATGGAAGTCGCATGCTAACTAGGGGTGTGCTTTCTCATTTTCCCTCTCTTCTCCATCTCTGGTGAGTGCATGCATGCCCTACAGCAAAAAACCTAAATAAATAAAAGATGAGAGGGGCCATGGGGCTGGCGGGTGGCATAGGGTTAAGGGCACTGGACTCCTACATGGTCAACCGTGGTTCGAATGCCAGACTTGACATAAACAAACAAACAAATAAATAAATAAATAAAGTTAAATTAAAAAAGAATGATTTTTATTTAACTTTATTTATTATTATTATCATTATTATTTTCCAGTTTGATCAGAGAGAGACAGAGAGAGACAAAGGAAGTGAGAAAGCAAGCCACCAGGTCCGAGACTTGAACTGTGGTCGGCCATGTGGGAGGCCAGCGCCTTTAACCACCATGCCACTTGCCGGCCCCAATAAAATAATTCTTAAAAAAAAAAAAAAGATGAGTATTTTTTAAAAGATGAGAGAAATGTGATTATGTACATAAGCTAACATATCACAATCTTCACTGTAACAAGTTTTAATAGAATAATCAAAAACAGGGGCCAGTAGGTGAGGTAGTGGTTAAGGCACTGGACTCCCTCATGGTTAATTGCAGTTAAGAGTCCCGGACCCAGAAGCTTGAAACTCATGCCAGGCATGTGTGCATGCATGCCCAAAATCCCAAAAGGAAAAAGGAGGAGAAGGGATTGAGGCGTGACCATCACCCCGGGAGGTGATTTCTCACTCTCCCTCTTTCACTGTCTCTGTCTCTCTAGCATATTCACATGCCCTATGAAAAAAAACTTAAAAAAAAAAATTCTTAGGTCTATATGCAAAACACTAAGCCTGAGTGCCTCCGTAGATGTTAGTAAGAAGGTGTATTTTAAGGTATGCCTGATCTGATGCGTGTTACAGTCACTCTGCTAGAAGATGCAGCCTGGAATCCTTAGCATAGCACCTTAGGGTCTCAAGCTTTGACCTGAGCCTCTGCTCCACCTCTTCTTCAGCCACAATTCCCATGAGTCTGTCATTTTTTCCTCTTTCCTGAATCATGCACGTTTCCCTTAACAAGCATATCATTTATCTCCCTTAATTCAACAACTCAGTGTTATCAAGTCAGGCCTTAATTGCTCCCCCAACCATTTCCAGAAAACTATTCCTCAACTGTTCAATATGTGGCCTAAACTGTAGTCTAAGGCCTCTGACCACATGTCCTGTTCTTCTCAACTAATGTTAGCTCTGAGACACTCTGTAAGCTGTTGCTTATGCAAAGAAATGTAACCTACCTGGATCTCCTCTCGAGAGAGCTGCGTGGAATTTTGCACAAAGGCTGGGGGTTCATCCCATCCTCCTTCCTGGGTCTCCAGATTGTGGTAATAATAATATCCACCTTTGACCCAGTGCTTCACCCACTTGCTATTATTATCTCCTGCCAGAAAATACAAGAAGGATCAAAGAAGCCCAGAGGTGCAACCCCCACACTTACATGTCTGATACCACAAGATATTCTAGTCAGTCTAGTCATTCGACAGTCCACAAAGGCCATTCTAAACACCTGCTCTTTAGGTCTCTGAGAGTACAGAGGTATCTTTAAGTCTCTGTTAAATTATCAATTTGTGGGGCCAGCAGGTGGCATAGTGATAAGGCACTGGACTCCCACAGAGCCAAATGCAGTTTGAGTCCTAGACCTGGCAGCTTACTTTCTCACTTCCCCCTCTTTCTGTGTCTCTCTCTGATAAGCATACATGCCCTACAGCAAATTAAAAAAAAAAAAGTAAATAAAACTTTAAAAAAAAACCTGTAATTAATATAAGGCTTAGTACCATCCACGATTTTAGGCCTCCACTGGGGCTCTTGGGACATATCCCCTGTGGAGATAGAGGGAAGACTGTATGCTCATAAAAGATTTGCAACCACTTTTTATTGCCCACAGGCTTCGATAATCAGAGCTACTGACGCTCTATGAAAGATAACCAAATAATTTGATCCTTCCCATATTATGAGGAAACAGCTGTCCACAATAGAAAAAAGAGAATAGTTTAAAACAGGAATATTATCTCCTTTAAAATGAGCCTAACTACTGTATTTCTACACTAAGATATCTGTCCCTACAGCTTTAAGGACATGTCCCTTTAATCTACACCTATCCTCGCATCCTCAAGGGCTCAGCTTCAGAGCACGTGCTTGGTTTCCTGCCGCTCACCCGCTGCCAGTTTATTCTTCTTGGCCTCAGCAAGGTCACTCTGGTACGTCTCTCCACACTCAGGGATGACTCCATATAAGCCGACATCAGGAGAGCGAAGTGCACTCAATGTTCTGCCAACGTCGCCACTTTCCACCGCCTCGTTAATGGCAAAGACTCCTAAGGCAACTATGCCAGGAGAGAGATGTTACTGGAACAGCGTGGAAAGTATCTAAATTCATAACTACTGACAGTTCCCCTCGCAGTACCAACTAGCAAACCATTCCCCCCAAGCTCTCTACATTGGTCAAGCTGAATATTGAGATTAAAAAGCACCTTGCCATCCCCACCCTCCACCAAAACAGAAATAAAACTGCTGATACGTACACTTCTGTGCTTCTTGGGTGTCTTTGTTGGACTGCCAGATTCCACCTTGAATTTCATCCAACCATAACACAGCTGATTCATCCTGGGTTTCCTACATATAATTAAAAGCAAAACAATATTAGAGTCATGAAATTAGGTTACACGTGATGAGACCAGTTTGTGAGACTCAAGTAAAGAGAAAGATGTTTCATACATAAAAACACAGGGGTTCGTCAAGTGGGGAGAAAAAACACGAGCCTCAAAAAACTGGGAAAGGTTATTAGGCAAACGGCTCAGATGCAGGAGGAGGATGTGCGAAGATGAATTCCAGTGGCTTGTGAGGTCAAGAGCAGCTAGAAGGGGCAAGAGGACTCGATAAACTGGGAAGGAGGCCAGGACTTTCATAGCATGACAAAGGCCAGAGTACGTATATGAATGTGCAGTATTTATTCTGGAGAGCTTCCTCTGCCAACAACACTCAGAGGAAGTTAATATCCTCTGTGATTGCTAATGTTTTTAAAACTGTCAAGTCTTACTTTAACCAGAACCTTTGAATTATCACATTTAAAGCCAAGAGTCAGAGCAGGTAATCTAAATCTAAATCACCAGCTTATTTATTTATTTATTTATTTATTTTGAGAGATACTTTTTGCTACAGGGTGTGTGTGCTCGCCAGAGAGACAGAGAGACACAGAGAGACATAAGGTGAGAAAACAGCCCCCCGGGGGATGACCACATAGCAATTCCTTCACCTCCATTCTCCTCTCAGGATCCTGGCATGCACACACTCGCGCCTCGCATGAGTTTTAAGTTGCTGGGTCCAGGATTTGAACCATGGCTGACTATGTGGGAGTCCAGAGACATAACCATTATGCCATCTGCTGGTCCCACCAGCTTATTTTTTTAAACTTGAACAATGGGACCAGCGGGTGCCATGGTAGTTGAGGTGCTAGACTCCTACCTGGATGACTATAGTTTGAGTTGAGCCTTGAAATTCATGCCAGGTGTGTGTGTGTGTGTGTGTGTGTGTGTGCATGCCCACCCAGAATCCCAAGAGGAGAATGGAAGAGAAGGAATTGCAGCATGGCCATCCTCCACACCTCATTGGGGTGAGTTTTCACTTTCTCTCTGTCTTTGTGTCTCCAGAGAGTGCACAAGCTCTATCACAAAAATTTCTCAAAAAGAATGCTAAAGGAGTTGCCAGGAACTTAAAAATACATTTTCACACAGGAATATTATGATAAATTGTGATCAGTTTCACATTTATGGCTGACAAAAACATTTTACTAGCCCATTGCATTGTCTGAGTTGGCTACTGGGGACAGAGTTGAACGGTAGAAGTGACTTTCTTCCCTCCTCCTAATATGATTTTAGACTAGTTTCTTTTTTTTTTCTTTAAATAATTATTTATTTATTTTTACTTATTATTTATCTATTTATTTTTAATTTGAACAGAGAGACAGAGAAAGTAAGCTGCCAGGCCTGGGACTTGAACCACAGTCAGCCATGTGGGAGTCCTTAACCACTATACCACCTGCTGCCCCTGAGACAAGTTTTAATTATCTCAAAGAGGAGGTTTTTCATTTCAGATGTCTTTCAGGGGCCTAACACTGATGGCACAGGCGGGAGCAAACTGAGCTGCCAGGCTGAAAGCCCCATAGCCAGTTGCAGGCTTAGATCCCAAGTCAAGCTGAAAACATGCTGTTCATGTGCGTGCCTACGCTCCTGACAGGCTGGAAGGTTGAGATCAGGACACCCCAGGGAGGCGAGACCTGTTGATAGCTGTCTGTGGCCTCTCATTCCTACATATGCATATACACACACTCTCCCATGAGCAAAATAAAACTTAAGGGAAAAAAAAGGCAAGGCACCTTGGGCTTTAAAGGGCCCAGGTTGAGAGGGTCACATTTGAGGTAATCTTATCAGATCCAACAATGCGGACATGCTTCTGAGGCTTGAGTTAACAGCAGCTGAGATAAAGAGTAGCTCCAAAGTCTGTTTAGGCTGCTTAACGTGAATATAATTTGCCAAGGCACCACTGAGGCAGAATAAAGGACTCCATCAATGACAATAACTGTGTGTCCAGATGAGGCGGGGTCTGAGCTTTGGCGAAAGCTCTACTGCACAACGGTTGAAGCTACAAAACCTCAGGGAGGCCTGGCTTTCCTCCTGCCTCATCGTGAAAATGTCACAGTAGTTCACTCAGTGGAGCAAAGCAGCCACCATCTCTGTAATTTAGAGAAAGTGATGGTGACAGGATAAAGCCAACGGAAAGCATCTGAAATTGAAAACAGTGATTTCTGGGTCAGCCCCATATCTCAGTGGTTAAGGGAGTCAGATCCCATGTGGAGGACCACGGTTCCAATCCCGGCCCTGGCAGCTTAAAAAACAGGCTGAGCACACACGTGCTCCAGATCCTGATAGCCAGGAGGAATGGAGAAGAACTGTGGCAGGACCACACCCTATCGGTAGGGTGCTTTCTCTCTAGTGAGTGCATGCACCCTCTAGAAGTGAAAAAAGAAAAAAGAAAAGAAAAGAAAGAAAGGAGTGATTTCTCCCAAATACAAAGTTTTAGAAAGATAATTGAGCCAAATTATGGTAGGAGTTGACCTTAGAATAGTAAAAGGTGCTGTCCCAATTTTAAGAAGCTCACAGTCTTGGGAGAAGAAAAGAATAAACAGATAAATGGGTTAAGCTCACAGTCTTGGGAGAAGAAAAGAATAAACAGATAAATGGGTTATCAGAAAAGTTACGATGCATTTTTTTTAAGAGGTTTTTGCTACAGGGTGCGTGAGCTTGCCAGAAAGACAGAGAGAGACAGAAAGCGAGAAATCCCCCCCCAGGGAGTTGGCCACGCTGCAATCCCTTCTCCTCCATTCTCCTCTCAGGATCTTGGGTATACACACACACGCACCCAGCGTGAGTTGAAGCCACCAGGTCTGGGACTCAAACTGCGGTAGACTACATGGGAGTCCAGCAACGTAGCCATTACGCCAACTGCTGGTCTCAAGTTAGGATGCATTTTTGCATAGAAAAACAGAAAAATACATCCTGACTTTTCCAACAATCCAATAGAATGCAAAAACAAATCACTCTAACAACTGTAGAACCTAATACCTTCCTGCCACTAGTCACTTTCTATTATCTACCTGAAAATAGAAAATGACCACACACTCAGGCCAAAGGGACTGTGGTGTGGTCATCCTCACCACAGGGTGCTTTCTCACTTTCTCTCTCTCCAGGAAGCGCACATGCCTTACAGCAAATAAAAACAATAAATTTTAAAAAATTAAAAAAAGAAGAAGAAAATAAGCAGACATGATGCCCTAGAGTCCTGAGACTAACTACGGAAATGCCAAGCAGTAGTCGTCCAGGCGTGAGGACTTAAATGGCAGGGTCAAAAGCAAGAGGGCTGCAGACTTCATTTTCACAAGGAACAGCATAGAAATCCTTGCATTATAAAAACAGATGCATTTTACAGAACCGAACCATTTTGGGTTCACTTTTAGGCAACCACACATTGGATATCTCTGAGGAAAATCTGTTGTAAGAAAAGCTAGGCGGTTTAGCACAAGCTCCCATGCATCGAGAGAAAGGCAGAGCTCATGAAGCTCATCAGAATTTCATCTTTCTGGTACCAGCAGTCTAAAGTCACACACATTCTAAGGAATGAGCAAGAGCTATAGTATGACAGGCAAGAAAAAGAGAACCAACAGTGCTGCAGGGGTGTCAGAGACATACGAAACAGAAACACGCCTCGCCAGCCTGAAGGAAAGACAGACAACATACATCCCGTCCTCCCAGTAAGGAAGTAGTACTTTCTACCCCAATGAGGTAAAAAAATAAATAAACATAAAAAAGACGACAAAACCCTAAAGCCTCCAAGATTTAAGTGTTCTAAGAGATCACCCAAGAGGAACTCAAATCACTGAGCAGACTATTAAAACCTGAGCTAGGGACCAGCAGTTAGTGTAATGGCTATGTTGCTGGACTCCCACGTAGTCGACTGCAGTTCACATCCTGGACCCGGCAGCTTAAAACTCATGCCGGGCACGTGTGCACACATGTCCAAGATCCCGAGAGGAGAATGGAGGAGAAGGGATTGCGGCGTGGTCATCCCCCCAGGGAGTGATTTCTCGCTTTCTGTCTCTCTGTCTCTGTCTGTCTGGCGAGCGCAGACGCCCTATAGCAAAAACCTCTTCCAAAAAAAAAAAAAAAAACCTGGGCTAGATATTATGGAGAATACTGAGATTCATACAAAACACACTAAAGTACAGCCTCCTAACCACTCTGCCTGGCATCTAGAAAAATACTGATTACATTTCAGAAGAGGTAAAGAGATAAGAAACGAGCGTTTTAGAGGAGTAGGCAACACCTGGCCGTAGAGAATGGCTATTTCATACCCATTTACGTATGGAAGGCTAATACACACTCACACCTCTCAAGAACACTTCTTTATTTTCTTTAGAGAGATTTTTGCTATCAAGTGTGTGTGTGCTCGCCAGAGACAGACACACACACAGAGTGAGAGAGAGAGAGAGAAAGTGAGAAATCACCACCCAGGGGGAATGGCCACTCCACAATCTCCTTCTCCTTTCAGGATTTTGGGCACATATGCACACGTGCCCAGTATGAGTCTTAAGCCACCAGGGCCAGGACTCAAACCATGGTTGACTTCACAACAACCCAGTGATATAACCATTTCATCATCTTCTGATCCCTCAGGAGCACTTTATGCCTCTTAAATCAGCTATTTAAAATATGCTCAGAACCACCAGATGGCATAATAGTTATATCCCTGGACTTCCACATAGTCAACTGTGGTTTGCGTCACAGACCCAGTGACTTAAAATTCACGCTAGTGCATGTGTGTGTGTGCCCAAGATCCCTAGAGGAAAAGGGACTGTGGCATGGCCATCCCTCTTGGGGAGTGATTTCAGACTTTCTCTCTGTCTCTTTCTCCAGCAAGTGCACGTGCCCTACAGCAAAAAATCTCTCTCAAAAAAAATCAAAACAAAACAAAACAAGAAAATATCAAAGAACTAAAGAAATCATAGCTCCAGAACTAAAGAAAATAACAGAATAACATCTATTCAAACAGAATGTCAACAGAGCGATAAATTAGAAAACAAACAAACAAAAAAACACCCAAAATGTCATTCTGGAGTTGAAAAGTATAATAATGAATCCAAAACTTACTAGAAGGGCTTAACAGCAGATATGAGCAAATGAAAGAACTAGCAAACCTCAAGAAGGGAAAATTGAGATGATCTGCTCTGAGGATTATTAAGGGGAAAAAATGAAAGAAAAAACACCTGGGACACCTGTGGACACCATCAGTCACTAATATATACACGATGGACTTCCTGGAAGGCAGGAGAGAGAGAGAGGCAGGAAGAATACTTGGGAAAAAATGTAAATAGGCCCAAACAAGTATTGAGATGGAATTAGCAGTCAAAGAATATTCCCTTGCCAACACAGACAGATACACACACACACACACACACACTCAGGATCATATAAGTTCACTGCTGAAGTCTACCAAATGTTTGAAAAATTAGCCAGTCTTTACAGAAGAAGGAATATTTTCCAATTCATTCTATGACACCAGTATTACCTTAATACCAAAACCAGACACAAAGATACCAAAAGAAAAGTATACACCAAATTTAAATTAGGATGTTCTGCTTGCTAAATTTAGAACGTGGTAAGATGATTTTTTAAAAATACTCCAAAGATGGCTCCTAAGAACTCAGAAGCTAAGCTGATGCCTAAAAAAATACAAGTTCCCCCACATGAAGGTTACTGGCTGGGCCTGGCAGTGGTTAGCAAATTTTTCCTTTAACTTTCCCCTTTCTTCACTTCTCATGAACTCTGAAAATTATTCCATACCAAAAGGAAATGCTTCAAACTCTCGTCACATCCTCTTAAAAGTTTAACTCTAGTACCCAAATGAAAGGAGCAGATAGCTCTGCAGCTTGAGTGAGAGCTATACATTCGCTTTATACCCTCTACTGACTTTTCCTCTTATTTTTATATCACCATAGGGTACATGCGTTCATGAAAAAGAGGTAAAGCACCCCACTGAGGCGTAGGCATGCCACAATCCCTTTTCCTCCACTTCTCCTGTAGGTCAGGTTTTCAGGCACGTAGGCTCATGTGCCCAGCGTGTCTCAAGCCACTAGGGCAAGGACTCAAACTTGGTTGGTTGAGAGATTCAGCTCCCTTACTCACAAGGCCATAGGGCTGGCCTTACAATGACTTTTTAAATGTGCTAATGATCGGCTAAGTTTGGGAAGTTCTGAGGCAATAAGTATTCCATAAAGTAGGGAGAGAATGTGGGAAAATGGGGAGTAAATGCTAATGGGCACAGGGTTTCTTTCCAAGTTGATGAAAATGTTTGAAAACACTGCACATAGTTGCACAACTCAATGAGTATACTAAAAATCACGTTCACTTTAAAATGATGAATTGTATGGTATGTGAATTCTAACTCAATGAAGCTATAACTTAAAAAAATTTGATGGTATTAGGTACCAAAGTTTAATATATATGTATCCTCTATGACCAACTAATTCCACTCCTAATTATATGCCTCACAGAATGCATAAATACAGTTTCTAGAAGACATGTACTATAACATTCATTGAATATGCCTTACTAATTAGCAAAAAGCAGAAAACAACCAAAACTTCACCATTAACCAACTGCACAACTATTGGATTGTCGGAAAAGCAATGACTTATTTTTCTGTTTTTCTATGTAAAAATGTTTCGTGACTTCCCAGTGACCCAATATGTAACAGAATAGCCCACGACAAAAAGAAAGGACGAGCCGTTGCTCCATCTGCAACTAAGTGAAAAATATCCTAACATTATGTTGGACAAGAGAAGCAAGACACAAAAGAGCACATAAAGCAGATTCCACTTCTATCAAGTTAAAAAATGGGCAAAAATGGGGGACCTGACTACAGCACAGCAGCAAAGCCCAATGACCTGTATGGGGATCCCACTGAAAGGGTTCCTGGGTCAAGTCTAAAGAACTCCCTCAGTATGTCAGGTACACACATACCCATGATCTGGGGCGGGTCAGAGGGCGGGATGGATCGTAGAGTCAATACTCTGTTGGGGTTCTCTCTGATTCTCACTCATGCAATCAATCAATCGATAAAAACTTAAATAAAAAAAACTGGGCCAGCAGGTGGCCTGGAAGTTAAGGTGGCTGGATCTCACAGGGCCAGTAGTGCAATTCAAGTCCCGGACCTGGTACCTGAAAATCATGCCAGGTGAATGTGTGTGCCCAAAATGGTGAGAGGAGAATGGAAGAGATGAGATTGTGGCACGGCCATTCCTCCAGGGGGTGATTTCTCATTCCCCTCTTTCTCTCTGGCAAGTACATGCACCATACAGCAAACTAAAATAAATAAACTAAAAAGAAGGCAAAAATAACTGTGATGTTAGAAATGAGGATAGCAGTTACGACCACGTGAAGAGGTGGTAAGGAGCGAAAGGGCCATAAGAGAGGTTTCAGTGATGCTTTTTATAATCTAAATGCACTTACACAAGTATGTTCACTTTTGAAACTTCATGCAATTGCATAGTCATGTAACTTGTGTGAGCTTTTCTAAATGATATACCTCAACAGGGAATTTAAAGAGACATAAGAGATGTGTCTGTGATGAACACAAGAAAGAACAAAAACCCAAATGTGTAAAACACTAGGAGTTCCTATGGGACCAGCAGTTGGCATAATGGCTATGTTGCTGGACTCCCATGTAGTCGACCGTGGTTCGAGTCTCGGACCCAGTGGCTTAAACTCATGCCAAGTGCATGTGTGTGCATGTCCAAGATCCCAAGAAGAGGATGGAGGAGAAGGGATTGCAGTGTGGCCATTCCTCCTAGGGGTAACTTCTCGCTTTCTGTCTCTCTGTCTCTGTCTTTCTGGCAAGCACACGTGCCCCATAGCAAAAACCTCTCAAAAAAAAAAATAAATAAATAAAGCAGTATGAGTTCCTGAAACGCAGTCCATAACCCTCATGCTTCTGTGTACCTCCAGTGCTCTGAATCTAAGGGTGCCCAGGAAGTATTCATTAAGTGATTCAAGAGGGCGATTCCAACCTGTGTCTTTGCTCTAGGACAGATGAAGTGCTCTGGTCAGAAAGGAACTCTTCCTGTGCCACTCACCTGGGCTTTCTCTCTCTTTGCTCTAATCAGTGTGTCCTGGTAATGCTGGGCCACTTCTGCAAGGACACCCTCAAGTTTAGCTGCAGGAATCTGCAGAGCCTGCAGAGTCTTTTGAGCATCGCCTTCATCCAGGGCTTCATTAATTAAACCAATGGCTAAAATTCCTACATAAAGAGATAAAAGGTTATTTTTAAATTAAGAAGTTATAGAAACAAATCCATCTTAAAATATTATTACCTACCCATAAATCCACCTGAGAGTAACCATGATTCACCTATTCATCTTAATGTCACCCATTAAGCAGCATTGTGTTCTTATAATGTAGTGTTTGTTTCATCTAAAGTAAATTCACTTGTACTCTATATGCCTACTGAAAGAGCAAGTCCTTCTGTTTTTATGTCGTCGTTGTTTTTCACTTTGCTATAGAGAAAGTGAGAAATCACCATCGCCCCCACCACCACCCCAGCCATCCCATAATCTTCTCACCACAATCCCTTTTCCTTCATTCTCCTTTAGGGATTTGGGCACATGCATACACATGCCCAGAGTGACTCTTTTTTTTAATTTTTTTTTTTGAGAGGTTTTTGCCATAGGGTGCGTGCGCTCGCCTGACAGACAGAGAGAGACAGAGAGACAGAAAGTGAGAAATCAACCCCCAGGGGAGATGGCCACGCCACAATCTCTTCTCCTCCATTCTCCTCTCAGGATCTTGGGCACATACACACACACGCCCGGCGTGAGTTTTAAGCCACCAGGTCCAGGACGCGAACCGTGGTCAACTACATGGGAGTCCAGTAACATAGCCATTATGCTAACTGCTGGTCCCTCCAGAGTGATTTTCAAGGTGCCAGGTCTGGGACTTGAACCTTAGAGCTAGCTATGTCGGATCCAGCATGCTAGCATTTTTAAATGCTCTAACTTGAAAGTAATGATGATTTTGATTAAACTAGCTTTATAGTATAGCTCTCATACATTCAAATGTGTAATCTAAACCATTCTTGATTCACAAAAAGTCAGAGGTCAAGGAATCTTCCATTTTTTTTGAGAGATTTTTGCTATAGGGCGCGTTTGCTCACCAGAAAGCAGAGACAGACAAAGAGACAGAAAGCGAGAAATCATCACCTAAGGGGGGATGGGCCACGCCGCAATCCTTTCTCATCCCTTCTCTCAGGATCTTGGGCATGTACACACACACGCCCAGTGTGAGTTTAAGCCACTGGGTCTGGGACTCAAACCACAGTCAACTACATGGGAGTCCAGTGACATAGCTACTACGCTAACTGCTGGTCCCTGGATCTTCAAATTATTAAAGGGGGCAGCAAGAACCCTCACATTTATAGCCAATTGATTCAGAAGTGCGGTAGCCTGGGAACCCCAAAGCTTGCAGCTGGTACTAAAGCCAGAGGAATCTTGTGGAGGACTGTGCCCTACATCTGTGCAATTTGACCAAATTCCAGGCAGTGTCAGAACTACTTGTTACAACAGAACTACTTGTTATAACTTGTCTTTCACAGTAACAGATCATTTTCAACTCATCTCCTGAAATATTCAGCTTTTATTAGGTACCTACCTAATTATACCAATTGCCTGGTACTATTCAGAACAGTATCCCATCTTACATTTTTGAGTTACACAGATACTTTTCAATGCTTCACCCAGCAACTGTTCCAGAAGTAATACTTAGAACCAGTTCCGGGAATCACCACCATCTTTAAGGATGACCTTATTTCGAGGAGCAGGAAGAGTACTCACGTTCATGTTCCTCTTGCACCACCAGGTTCACATGGTCCACACAGGCTTGGATGTCATTCCATGTAATAAAGTCATTGTTCTCTGCATGTGCCTGAGTTTTCAGTTTCATCAACTCATCCAGATACCTGTCCCAGTTCCCCAACAAAGAGAGAATGAAGCACAGCATTAAAAAAAACCAAACGAACCTTCAGGATTTTTACAGAGGACAGGAAAAAAGATGACTGAGGAGTCAAGTATTTGAGAAACAAAGATAGCTTGAAACAGTCTAGAGGCCATTTTGGGACAGAGGAGTTACCTTAGATAGAGTGAAAACATAAGGAAATTATTATTTATGCTCAATAGGCTGATATATAATCTAAATTCTAAGCAAGACTAACTCTAGAATCAGAAGCAGTAGCTCAACCCCTCTAAAGACAAGAAGAAAAATGACAGGTTAACAAATGGAGAAGGAATAATGGATCATCAACTCTTAGGGAAAACAATGATGTTGGAAAAGATTATCAACTGGGGTTAAAAACATCAGGTGAATGGCTAATGAGGAAGGAGACATTTTTACAGTGCAAAAGGTTATATAAAAAAAATGATGTGGGGGGGCTCATTAAGTCATAAAGCCTACAAAGAGAACAGGAGTGTAGGTACATGGAGGACAGAGGTAACAGCTATGTCATGGAGTCAGCCCATTCTCTCTGGGCACCCACCTTTGACAGTTCTCTTCCTCTATATTGGTGAGGCCTGTAACTGAGCTGCTCAACTGCTTCCACACTGTATTCATGTCTCCCGACTCCAAGGCCCTGTTGATTAGAGCCACCGATGATAACATCTCCACGGCGACAGAGAGCTCTGGGTGGGTGAGGCTATGCTGTACAGAAAGGGGCGGGGGGATAGTGAAGAAAGACACTTATATACCACAAGAGTTACAAGTTTGAAAAGCACTAGAAAGACTAAGTTTCTGGAAATAAAGTTCTATCTAACCACACTAAGAAGGGGGTATTAAGTTCATTTCGCCCCATTCTGCTCAGAAACGGGACAGGTCTGGTTAACTTACTTCAGGACTCTGTTGCTGCAGGGTGGCCAACTCCTTCTGATAAAGGTCAGCAGCAAATGGATACACCTGGGGCAGCTGGGCTTCAGGATTCATTAGCTCCAAAACGGTCTTCTCAGCAACACCCTTCTGGATGGCGGCATTAATTGCTGCCACTGCTGCCAACCCTGCGGGAAACAGGCGGTCAGAAATGCAGCGGGCTTAGGAGCGCTAAGGGGATGGAGAAGAAAGTTACATTCTGGGGACCAGCAGATGGTGTAATAGCTATTTCACTGGACTCCCAGGTAGTTGACCACAGTTCAAGTCCTGGATCCAGTGGCTTAAACTCATGCTGGGCGCGTGTGCATGCGTGCCCAAGATCCTGAGAGGAGACTGGAGGAGAAGGGATTGCAGTGTTGCCATCCCCTCCTGGGGTGGGGGGGGGTGATTTCTCGCTTTCTGTGTCTCTGGCGCGCACATGAGCCTTATAGCAAAAACCTCCCCCCAAAAAAGTTATTTTCTGTGGATAAACAATGACTTCTAGCGTGGAACTTCCATCTTTAAAAAGCAGCTTCCTTGGTAAGAAAGATGAACTGTAAGATATATGAACTGTATCTCAATAAAACTGTTTTTAAAAAGCTATCTCCTAACAGGTCTCCTGATCCACATTTTCTTTCCACTCACACCACTGCTACTCTCTAATAAAACATCTCTTCCTTCCCCTACAGCCTGGCAAATCAAATGCCAGCTTCTGTCATCACAGCTTTCCACTGTCTTTCAAGCTCTGTATCTTTCTCAACTCAGTTCAAAACATCTATCATTTTTCTTTTAGTTTTTTTCTTGTTTGGCCAAAGAGTGTATGTACTCACCTGAGAGAGAGAATGAGGGAGAGACAGAGAGAATGAAAGCACTCAATGGGGGATGATCATGCCACAATCTTTTTTCCTCCATGTCTCCCTCCTCCCAGGATTCTGGGCATACTTGCACATATGCCTGGTGTGTTGTTCAAGCCATGAAACTGGGATTTACACCATAACCAGTCATATGTAATCTAATCTGGTTATTCTGTGCTATGGGACCAGTCTTACAAAACGTTTATGCTGATCACTGTTCTTTTAATACATCTTCTGCCATTTGTACCTCTACCTCTGTTCCCCTCTCCTTCCCGCATATTGTCCCACCACAGTGACATGCTTCTCTCTCCTCTTTTACAGTCCAGGTTTCATCAATCCCTTGAGTCTGGCCTTCTCTGGTCATCTCCCTAACCAACCATGAAGTGCTTACTAGCCAAAGTGAGCCCACATTGCCACCAGCTCCTCAGCTGAAACTGCAGGAACCCAACTACCACCAGGAGTACCTGGGAGCGGATGATGGCTGGCAGGCTCAGGGTTGGGGGTGAGGGGCAACAGAAACTAACCTCTTGACTCTTCAGTGACATAAACCACAACCTGCCTCCCCTACTGAGCATTCAGCGGCCCCGCAGCTGAGCGGACTCTTACTTCTCTGATACTGCTGGGCAGCACTGTTCGCGGCTTCCACTCCAGCCTGCAGCTCCTCCTTCTGCAGGGGGTCAGACAGGCCACTCTGCGGAAAGCAAAGAATGTGTCTGTAAAGGTGAGTTGTGCTTATGCCTCCAGACCTGATGGTTCTCCTATCTCAACAGCAGTCACCAGGGACAGAGACACATCACACAGCCCAACTGGCAGTTCTAGCTAGAGCCAAAAACCCTTGCCAACTCTGGGACACAGCGACTTTCCAGATACCAGTTCATGTTAAAAAATATTTCATGGAATGCATCACAATGTTCTGACAGACATGCTCATAGCATCATTAGCACATAAATGCTGCTTACCCTGACCGGCACATGCTGGGAGCTTACCAAATGAATGCATGCCCTTATACAGACAAAAGAGAAAGCCCTTCGTGTTTGTTCGGAAAAGACCAAGGACAACGCCACACCATCTACCCTTACTGCACGGTAGTACTTTCCCAGGGTTGGCCTGAGGAAATCAGTGAGGTGCGGTTCTCCTTTGAGGTAGAAATTCTTGAAGCAAGAATGTTGAAAAGTTCAGGTTTTCTCAACAGGCTTTTATAGTCAGGGGGGAAAGGAGGATGGATGAAGTGAAGGAGTTGTGAAAGCTGGGAGGAGGCATATTTTTAATTATAAGAAAGAAGTCACAGCTCTAAAAGCAAAAGAGAGCCGAGTATCTTACCTGATGACAGTTTTTAAACTTATTTACATGCAGGAGAAAAAACGGATACAAGAGGGGAAAAAGGCAGTGTAAGTATCTATAAAAAAGCAGTGTGAGGTTCAGATGATGCACACCAGCTCCCGTAGCCTCAGCCTCTGGGCTGTGCTCTTACCTGTCTTTTCTGCTGCTTATCGCTCAGGAGCTGCTTCAGGTACCAGTCACTATTCTGCTGCTGCAGGCCTCGAAGTCCCAGAGCTGGGGACTGCAGGACCTTGAACAAGGCCAGTGCAGATCCCTGCTCTAAAGCCAGGTCGACATTTGCTAATGCAGAAAAGGCTGAGGAGGAGAGAAGGCAAAAAGCTTCAGAAAAAAAAAAATGTGTGAACATAACAATCTAAAATTCCAGATTTAGGGAAATAGAACCCAGCGAGTTTTTATCCTATAGTATCCCAGTATCTCAGAAGTGCAAGATCTTGGAATTAGAAGAGAACTTTGAAGTCATCAAGTCCAGAGTTCCCAGCCAGGCTGTTCATCAGACTTCATACATATTCCTGGGCCACACCAGGGTCTACCTAACAGCCTCCAGAAGTAGATAGTGGGGCACCAATACAGGGGGCAACAGAAGAGGCACCAATCCAGACCAGTACGATGATTAAATTTCCTCTAAAACACCACGTAATTGTCCAGATTACTAAACAGGAGAAAAATATCTCTCATAGCAATTTACTACATCTTCAGACAATTCTATTTTTTAAAAAAAGTTTTTTTTAAAAGCTCTCACCCTAGGATTCACTGACTCCACCCAGACCCCCTTCCAACTCTTCACTAAGTCTTAGCCCCTTCAACCATTTTTTAATTCTTTTTTTTTTTTTTTTGAAGTTTTTGCTATAGGGCTCATGTACTTGTTGGAGAGAGACAAAGAGAGAAAGGGAAAGTGAGAAATAATGCACCTTGTTAGGGGAGAGGGGGTGATCACACTGCAATTCTTTCTCTTTCATTCTCCTCTTTAGATTTTGGGCACACACATATACACACCCAGTGTGATTTTTAAGCCGGTGGGTCTGGGACTCAAACCACGTAGTTGGCCACGTGAGATTCGGTTGTTGTTAATCACCGTCCCACTGTTTGGCCCTAACTATTTCTTAGACAGCATCATTTTGAATCCATTCATTGTCTTAATTATCTCCTGAACATGGGACTGTGCCTAGGGAACCAAACACCACATGGCGGACCACAGTTCAAATCCCAGCCCTGGCAGCTTGAAAAATACACTAGGCACATGTGATGAGCACCCCACATCCTCATGGGATGTTGAAATGGGACAGGATGGTAGCACGACCATGGCCCACTATGGGAGTGGGGGGGAGATGCTTCTCCCTTGTCTGTCTCCCTGGCAAGCACACAAGCGCTCTGGCAAATAGAAAAGGAAAGAAAGAAAAAATCTTAGATAAAAATATCTAACATAAGTAAATTACTGCAAAAATAACAAATAGAACCATACACTGAAATGATCAGTATAAATAATGTTATAAAGAATTTATGGGGGGGTCAGCAGGTGGTAAGGTGCTTAAGTCACTGATCTTCCACATGGCCAACCACAGTCCAAGTCCTGGACCCAGCTACTTGAAAATCACTCCAGGCACACATGCACGTGTACCCAAGATCCTAAAAGGAGAACAGAGAAGGGACGGGAGCATAGCCATCCCCTTGGGGGTGATTTCTCACTTTCACTCTCTCTGTCTCTCTCCAGCAGTGCACATGGCCTATGGCAAAAACCTTTTTAAAACATCATGTTTCACTCTCTCTGTCTCTCTCCAGCAGTGCATATGGGCTATGGCAAAAACCTTTTTAAAAAATCATAAAAAGGGGGCCCAGCAGTTGGCATGAAGGCTATGTCGCTGAATTCCCATGTAGTTGACCACAGTTCAAGTCCCAAACCCAGTGTCTTAAACTCACACTGGGCACGTGTGTGTGTGTGTGTGTGTGTGTGTGTGTGTGTGCCTAAGATCCTGAGAGGAGAATGGAGGAGAAGGGATTGCAGTGTGGCCATCCCCCCTGGGGGGTGATTTCTCGCTTTCTGTCTCTCTTTCTCTGTCTTTCTGGTGAGTGCATGCGCCCTATAGCAAAAACCTCTCCAAATAATAATAATAATTAAGAATAAAAGGAAAATAAATTTTTCAAAAAGTGTGTAACACAAGGTGAAAAAGTGAAACTAGACAAAAAGACCAGTTCAGACACTACTGGAGAGGACGGAGTGGAGGGTTTAATGGAGGGCAATGATAGGGAAACAGAGACACAGAAACACAAATGACTTTAATGGTCCCTTGGGACTGGCAGGTGACATGGTGGTTAAAGGCACTGGATTCCCACATGGCTGACTGTGGCTCGAGTTCCAGACCTGGTGGCTTGCTTTCTTGGTTTCCCCTTCTCTCTCTCTGTCTCTCTATGGTCAAATTAAAAAATAACAATAATAAATGGAATTAAACAAATAAATAAGCAATAGTTGCTAAATAAATTCTCTAGTGTCTGAAGTGATTAAATTAAACCAGGTCCTAATTCTAGGAACAGATCAACATTCATGAGGTCCCGTAATGTCCCCATAGGTGCCTGACTCAGGAGCGCACTTACTATTGACTTTGTTGACATTGCCTTGGATCTCAGCTTGAGTGAGCAGCTCCTCATAAACATCTCTTTCTCTCTCAGAGTTTTCTGTCTGAGGATGAATAAAAAGCATAATTCAATTAGCTCGGGTCTCTAAGAACCACGGAAAGACATTCGCATTCTTCCCTGACCAAAACAGAACCAAGAGTGAGTATGGGTGTGGCTTAAAATTACTTATAAAGAAAAATGCAGAATATTACAAGACTGCAACTGAAAACATGAAAAGCAGGCCCATCTGTTAATAACAGGCAGGGGGTTCTTCCAGAGCTGGGTAAGAGAAGGAAGCACTGTCCGAGCCCTGCTCTACTTGCTTATGAGGCAGCCAGGCTGAAAGCCCCCATCCTTGCCCAGACCTGAGCAGGACGGGCACAGCCATTTAGAAAGCCCACCTTGGAGCCCTGCACTGGCACACGGGCAGAGGCCTAGCAGTAGCCACTTGCCTGCAGGCCAGGGTGGCACCACTTAGGAGATTAAATTCTCTGCTCTGTGGTAAGAAATACAAAGACTAGGGGCCGGCAAGTGGCGCGGTGGTTAAAGGTGCTGGACTCCCACATGGGTGACCACGGTTAAAGTCTCAGACCTGGTGGCTTGCTTTCTCACTTCCTCTCTCTCTCTCTGTCTCTCTCTGATCAAACTGAAAAATAATAATGATAATAATAATAAAGTTAAATAAAATAATTCTTAAAAAAAAAAAAGAAATACAAAGACTGTTCTGATAATGGGTTTGCTTCCATTTCATCATTTGGACACATGTCCAAAAAATAAGAGACATTTCAATTGCTAATTTCTACACAGGGTGAGTAAGCTTGTGTGAAGTCTTAAATGAGAGTCTCAGCTTTATTTTTCTCAAGTCGGACTCATTCGACTAACATCCATACATCTGTAACAACAGTACATAAATATTCACCCCAGAGAAGGTGAGAAAAGAGAGGGTTCTATAACTACTGACAGGTCATCTTTCAAAAGGGCACTAACAGTTTGTAATTGCCAAGCTCTAGAACTTTATCTGCACAAAATTTAAGAAGAAAAGAGAATCAAAATGGGTCTAATAACAAGACTACATACTCGGGGTCTTCAAAAAGTCTGTGGGAAACACATCATTATGAAAAAAATTATACATGGATTTCAAAACATTTTTTGTACCAAAGTAAACTTATCTTTAATTCCCCTTTCCATGTACTTTCTGAAGTCTCCTTGTACCTGAATAAAAAGGTCAACTATAGCGCTAGTAAATGGATTGGTAGTTGCCTGAGGTCAGAGCTGGGAGTAAGGGAAAAGTAGAGACTGATGCAAAAGGGCACTCAGGAACGCTGGGGGGTGGTGGTGAAATGACTATATACACTATCAAAACTCATCAAACTACACATTTAAAATTGGTGAATTTTAGTTTATATAAATTACGACTCAATAAAAGTGACATTTAAAATGAAGTCACATAAAACAATGAAAGAATATAACCCAATTAGAAAGAACAGATGTTTGGGGCCAGCAGGTGGCATGGTGGTTAAGGCGCTGGAATTCCCACATGGCTGAGCACAGTTCGAGTCCCAGACCTGGCGGCTTGCTTTCTCACTTTCCCTCTCTCTGTCTTTCTCTGGCAAAGCGCATGTGAAATAATAATAACAAATAAATAAAATAATTCTTAAAAAAAAAAAAAGAAAAAACGAACGAACAGATGTTTCACCTTTACCCTGTTTTTAGCGTTGGTCATTTTGTCCTGCTTGGCCTGGTAAAGCACATCCTGGTAAGTAGACGCCAAGGGCTCCTCCAGGTTTACAAGCATGGCGTTGGGATTTTTCAGAGCTGTGAATGTCTCGGCTGGAATCCTACGGTCAATAGCTTCATTAATAGCAATAACAGCAGCATGCACTGAAAAAAAGTAAAGCATAGAACACTGAAATCATGTAGTAAAGGATGCACGTCACACCTGCCGAACGTTGCACATACCCAGTACAGAGACAGGCTCCTTTTCATAACAGAGAAAACAACTGGGCTTGGGGAAAAGGTCCCCTGGGTCCTCTGGGTCCCTTCCATATGATGCATAAAGCTGCACGTCTTCTACCACAGTAGTGTGCTGAATTTGGACTGTCCCAGGGAAATACTCATAAGACAGCCTTGCAAGGAGCGTTTGCTATGAAGATATGCACCCTTAACTACCGAGTAAATATAAACAAAAAACAAAACTCAAAAATGCACTGAAATGTAAGACTTACTTCTTAAGTGATTTTAATCATAATAAATCATTGGTTTCTATAGATAACAATAGCATAGAACAGCAGTGCTTAAAACTAGACCTACGGGCAAACCTTGCTGGCAAAATTTCATAATGTCCAAGATCATCACTGGAGTATCAATTACTGGAAATGAGAGCAATAATCCCACTTGAACACATAACATTTCTCTCCTCTTACATGCAGCTTCGTCCACTGACAGCTCATTAGCCAGGATCCCCCCGATCTTGCTGAAGGCAGGCATCTGGATCCCATACTTCTCCAGCTCAATCTTCATGTTATTGATTTCTTCTTCTACAGAAGAGAGTTAAGACCCAGTCCGACAAGTTAAGCATCTTTCCATGATTCAGAAAACCGATTCCTCAACTATAAAATGGGATAAAATGGCTTCTATTTCTCAAGATTATTACAAGGCCTTGAAAGAGATAATACATGTGAAGTACTTAACACAGTACCTGATACACAAAATGCATTCGATAAAATAGTTAACTATTATTATCATTGTCATCATCAAAGGCATCAACAATACCTATAAGGTCAGAAGGCTCTACAGGAAACAGTTTTTCAAAACTGCCACTTATGGCATTTCCTGCAATGAACTTATGAATGGAGAAGCTTCAGAGGGAGCTTAGTAACAAGTAAATCACTAACTAGTCAGTTATCTCAGTCTTGCTGCTGCTGGACAACTTTATTTCTAAGGCAGAAAGCCAAATGATAAAGAAAACAACGTGTAAGGTTTGGCCTCTGCCCCCGGTCTGCTGAACAACTTCCCTGGAAGGAAAAATATCACAGATAAACGCTTCACTACCAATTTTAAAAACTCTCAGATTCACAAAATAATCAGCCATTTGAAAGATTTGAATCTATCTCATCCTTATCCAATATTACCACTGTGTTTTTCTCCACAAGTTCCCATCTCTTCAAGCACTGGCTTATAGTAAATGCACACAGAGACACCCACCCATATAAGCTTAATTATTTTTTGAGACATTTTTGCTACAGAGCATGTGTACTTGTCAGAGAGGCAGAAAGAGACAGAGAGACAGAAAGCAAGAAATCACTCCCCCGCCCAGGGGGGATGGCCACACTGCAATCCCTTCTCCTCCACTCTCCTCTTGGGATCTTGGGCACACACGCACACACACCCGGTATGGTTTCTTTTTTTTTTTTTTTAAATTTTTTTTATTTACTTACTTAGAGAAAGACAAAGAGAGAGAGGGAGAAAGTGAAAAAGCAAGCCATCAGGTCCAGGACTCGAACCACAGTCGGCCATGTGGGAGTCCAGCGCCCTTAACCACCATGCCACCTGCTGTTCCCCATTGTGTTTTAAGCTGCCAGGTCCAGGACTTGAACCATAGTTAACTACGTGGGAGTCCAGCGACATAATCATCACGCCATCTGCTACTCCTGGCTTAAATTTTTTTTTTTTTTGAGAGGTTTTCGCTATAGGGCACGTGCGCTTGCCAGAAAGACAGAGAGAGACAGAGAGACAGAAAGCGAGAAATCACCCCCCCAGGGGGGATGGCCACGCCACAATCCTTTCTCCTCTCCGGACCTTGGGCACGCGCGCCTGGCGTGAATTTAAGACACTGGGTCCGGGACTCAAACCACGATCGACTACATGGGAGCCCAGCGACATAGCCATTATGCTAACTGCTGGTCCCCCTGGCTTAAATTTTAAAATTACAAAATTATCCTTTTTGCGTTATCTCACTCCCACTCTCCCCTTCTTCTGCCCACAACAGGGGCTTGCTAGAAAGGAAAGGGAAAGACCATTTGGAAGCTTTCGTCGACAAACATGATATTTACATGTTTTCTATAATATATTCTATGTTCCTCATATTCCTGATTTACATGTAAGAAAATGGAGACTCGTTAATCACGTCCATGAGAACAGAGCCTGAAATTCCAACACTAGTGTTCTTTCTACCACGCTAGGAGAAGCAAGTTCAACGTTTCTTTTATCTCTGTTGTCAGGTATTTTTTTAAACCCTGGGTCTTTAAAATGGATACTGCGGACTCTCTAAGCTATTTCTACCTAAATCAAGCATTTCCTGCCAGGTCTGTAACTCTTACCTGTGAAGTCAACCTTTCCATACAGGTCTTGAATCTGAGGAGCCAGGCCGAGTTTGAACAGGTACAAACTAGAAGACACAACACGCAGAGTTAGGGAGGCCTCTCGGCTGCAGAGAGCTGCCTAGCTGCTGCTCTGGGACTGCGGGGATAATCGGCATAAAGAATTGAAACAACACACTATGAACAAAATATTCCACTTCACAGTTACAATACTTTACCTCAGTGTCTTCATTTTTTTTCCTCTTATGTTATTGGTGTTTTTTGTTTTTAGGCTTATGTCATAGGGTATGTGCACTCAGCAGGTAGAGACAGTGAGAGAGAAAGTGAGATATCACCCCCAGGGGGATGGCCATGCCACAATCCCTTCTCCTCCATTTTCCTCCTAGGATTTTAGGCACACATACGCACTCAGTGTGATTTTCAAGCCTTCAGGACTGGGACTCAACTGCAGTAATTTATGTGGGAGAGGTTTTTGCTATAGGGTGCGTGCGCTCGACAGACTGAGAGAGACAGAGAGACAGAAAACGAGAAATCACCCTCCAAGGGGGGGGGGGTGGCACAACAACAAGCCCGTCTCCCGGCCACACCGCAATCCCTTCTCCTCCATTCTCCTCTCAGGATCTTGGGCACACACGCACATGCGCCCAGGGTGAGTTTTAAGCCACCAGGTCCGGGACGTGAATCACAGTCGACTACATGGGAGTCCAGCGACATAGCGATTACGCTAACTGCTGGTCCCATCATTCCGACTACATCATTAGGAAAACACTGTTAACCCTTTATCTGCATTTCAGAGAATTTGAGGGTCTGCGGCCCAGATTGTAATGCCGAGAAGTGACTGTAGAGCGAGCACAGCTGAACCCTGCCAGCGTAGCCCCTGTGCCTGCCAGGTTCCAATACTGGTTGTACGTAACACCTCTACAAGGTTATCAATGCAGACACTTAGTCGCAGTACTCAGAATTCATCTGATTTGGGCTCAGGCATATACGTCTGAATTTGATATACGTTCAATATGAGATATCCACGAGTGCCCAGCTATGTTCATTCTTTAGTTTTATGCTGAGCCCAGTGATATCGTGGATCCAGCACATTTGATCAAGAAACAAGAGACAATAGGTTTCTTACTGACCAATATTATACATACACTCATATACGCACTTAACATTTATTTAAGCACAATACAAGGTGTTTTTTTTTTTTTTTTTGAGAGATTTTCACTGTAGGGCGCGTGCGCTCGCCAGACAGACAGAGAGAGACATAGAGACAGAAAGCGAGAAATCACCCCCCAGGGGGGATGGCATGCCACAATCCCTTCTCCTCCATTCTCCTCTCGGGATCTTGGGCACGCACGCACACGCGCCCGGCGTGAGTTTTAAGCCACCGGGTCCGGGACACGAACCGCGGTCGACTACGTGGGAGTCCAGCGACATAGCCATTACGCTAACTGCTGGTTCCCCAAGGTGTTTTATTAAAAGAGCAGCCTGAGCAAAGAAATCTCATGTTCCTGTCCTAATCACTTCTATCATCCTCTTTACTATGGCCATGTAGCAAATTCGCTAAATATTAATACTTTACTACAATACACTATAAAAACAACCCCCATCCCATCTTATCCTCCCTCAAATTCATTAACCTTTTCCTTCCAGTTTAGTACCTTGTCAATCGTAAGAGCTGGGGACTTGAAATTAAGTCATCTTCCAAATTTACCATGAAACTGTGAGGTCCCTATCATATTTGTGTTAGCATAATGAACAAATGGCTTCATCATGGCGAGGGCCTACATGGCTAAATAAGAAACACTGCAGGGAACCAGCAGTTAGCGTAATGGCTATGTCACTGGACTCCCACGTAGTCGACCACGGTTCGCGTACCGAACCCAGTGGCTTAAAACTCACACCGGGCGCGTGTGCATGCGTGCCCAAGATCCCGAGAGGAGAATGGAGGAGAAGGGATTGCGGCGTGACCATCCCCACTGGGGGTGATTTCTCGCTTTCTGTCTCTCTGTCTCTCTCTGTCTGGCGAGCGCACGTGCCCTACAATGAAAACCTCTCCAAAAAAATAAATAAATAAAAGAAAGACTGCAGTCTGAGCGAAATGCATATTCCACAGAAACATTAGATCAGTAATGAGAGACTACACCATGTTTTTGGAACAAAATTATCCGCTATTGTGGGAATAAATAAATTCCTTTTCTCTACTTGCTAGAAAAACACAGCTGCTTCTCACTATTTTGTTAGGATAACAAGCATTCTATCCTATTTGAAATTCTGAAGCTAGTAGAAAACGTTTTCATTCCTACACCATGGACTAAAAGCTACGGACTTGACTCAGAGGTTATTCCTAAACTGCCTATTTTACCACGGAATTGTGATTACCTGAGTGCATGAATACAGTAGATACATCGTGGCATGTTCTTTCGATCATAGATATCTGTCGTTTCTGGGTAAAAAATCTAAGAAGAAAAAAAGCAGAGTAAGGCACCCACCTATTGAGTTCATTTTATCATTTGCCAATAACCGATAACATAAAGCTACAGGCAATTAGAAAACACTGTTGGCATTCAACAAATAACTTCATTAAGGTGAACAGATATTTTATCGCAGGAAGTACAAGGGACAAAATGCTATAGCATGAGTGAAATGCACTATTTGAAAAAAATCTCTACTTAATCAAGCCACTGAATTTCATTAGGCATGTGAAGGTAATTTACTTATTTTAAGTCCAGACACAAGCAAATAAAACCAAAGTTCTGGTCCAGTTGAATTACTTGCAAATGTGGGGCTTTTTTTTTTTTTTTTTTTTTTTTTTCTTTACCCATTTTTTTTTTTTTTTTTTTTTTTGGGGGGCTTTTTTTTTTTTTTTTTTTTTCTGGCTAGGTTTATCCTAGGTTTTATTAGTTGTGGTAAAAGGTCCTTATTCCTCTCGCAGAATAAGGCTTGAAAATTCATGTGCTCTGGAATATATTGGGGTTTGTTATGAAAGATGACATGGCATTCAGCTGTCCCTTAGTATGGGTGGGAGAGAGATTTCAGGACTCCCTGGGGGTACCAAATTCTAAGAATGCTCAAACCTCTTATATAAAATGTAACCTATGCATATCCTTCTGTATATTTGAAATCATATTGTGATTACTTATAATACCTAGCATAATGTAAATGCTATGTAAATAGTTACTATACTGTATCATTCAGAAAACAATGGCGAGAAAAAAGTCTGTGTATGTTTAGTTATAGATACAATCATCTTGGGCCTAACTACACAGCACACATCAGCAACAAAACATTTTTGTCCTCGATTGGTTGAATCTGCAGATGAAGACCCCAGGGATGTGGAACTTGGTAGCTATGGAGGGTCAACTGTTCTTGCTATATACATGAATATTTTAGGGACCAGCAGATGGCGTAATGGTCATGTCGCTGGATTCCCAGTCAACCACAGTTCAAGCCCTTGACCCAGTGGTTTGAAACTCATGCCAGGCATCTGTGCGTTTGTGCCCCAAATCCCAGGAAGACAACGGAGAAGAAGGAATTGTAGCATGGCCATTCCCCTGGGAGGTGATTCTGTCACCTTTTGTCTGTCTGTTTCTCTGGCAAGTGCACACACCCTATAGCAAAAATCTCTCTTAAAAAAACATACATGCATACTTTGTAAGAAGACATTTTGACAGGTGTAACTGGGTTCGGTCCCTGGTAGTAAAGATAACTTACTCTTCCCACCTACTTTGGTTAGGTATATATTTTAACCATATAAAGCTTTTTTGTGTGTGTAGAGAGGTTTTTGCTATAGGGCACATGCGCTCGGCAGAAAGAGAGAGATAGCAAGCAAGAAATCAGTCCCCAGGGCGGGGATGGCCATGCTGCAATCCCTTCTCCTCCATTCTCCTCTCAGGATCTCGGGCTCTCACATACACGTGCCCAGCTTGAGTTTAAGTCACTGGATCTGGGACTCAAACCACAGTTGACTACATGGGAATCCAGTAACATAGCCATTTCGCTAACTGCTGGTCCCACCCATATAAAACATTTACTGTAAGTATATTGGACCTGAGTATGCATGCTGTTTTGCCCTTAGGATCCCTGAAGAGAAAGACGTTAGATAGTTATAATTTCTTATTCTACTTTCAGCTGAAGCATGATGAGAAATGTTTTATAGATATTTCAAATACTTATTTAGGAGTTCCCTTATTTGATATAGAAAAGAACATTTTAAATGTTCATTCTCTGGGTGAATGTGAGGTTTTAAAATACCACAATCTTCCTAGTTATGATCTACTATGCCTAGGCTGAATGACAACCATAATTTACTAAGTGCTTCAGTTTGTGCAAAGTGCTACATTTAGACACTGAAAAACTACAAAATATTAAAATGTGGTACAATGTCTGGAAGAAGTAGGAAGATACAAAGTTGCTAGAATAGAGGATATACATGGGAATGTGGGAGACAGATACTTTTCCTGTGTGGCATTCTATATTTGATGGGTTAATGAATGATGAAGGATAGTAACAGAGTAGATACAGACTAGAATAATCTTGAATTTCAAAATGTATTCTCAGGACCAGCAGTTAGCGTAATGGCTATGTCGCTGGACTCCCACGTAGTCAAATACGGTTCAAGTCCCGGACCTGGTGGCTTAAACTCATGCCGGGTGTGTGTGTGTGCATGCCCAAGATCCCGAGAGGAGAATGGAGGAGAAGGGATTGTGGCGTGGCCATCCCCCCTGGGGGGTGATTTCTCACTTTCTATCTCTCTGTCTCTCTCTGTCTGTCTGGCAAGCGCACATGCCCTATAGCAAAAACCTCTCAAAAACAAAAACAAAACAAAACGTATTCTCATAGTAACATGGCATTACACAATTAAATCTGCAGTTTAAGGAAATAAAGAGCTAAGAGTAGATTTGAATAATGAGATGATTAGAAAAATTTGTGTTTAAGAATTAATTCTGGGACCAGCAGATGGCATCACTGAACTCCCATGTAGTTGACCACGGTTAGAGTCTTGCGGTTAGAGTCTTAGACCAGTGGCTTAAAACTCATACCAGGCGCATGTGCATGTATGCCCAAGATCCCAAGAGAAGAATGGAGGAAAAGGGATTCTAGCATAACCATCCACCCTGGGGGGTGATTTCTCACTTTCTGTCTCTGTTTCTCTGGCAAACACATGTGCTCTATAGCAAAAATCTCTCTGGAAAAAATTAAAAATAATTATTTAATTCTTCGTTTTTTTTTTTTTTTTTTTTTTTGCTATTGGTACATGCACTCACCAGAGAGACAGAGAAAGAGAGAGAAAGTGAGAAGGCAAGTCGCCAGATCTGGGACTCGAACTGTAGTCAGCCATATGGGAGTCTGGCACCTCAACCACCACATCACCTCCTGGCCCCCAATTAGAATTTGGATGAGCAGGGAACCAGCAGTTAGCGCAATGGCTATGTCGCTGGACTCCCACGTAGTCGACCGCGGTTCATGTCCTGGACCCGGTGGCTTAAAATTCACGCTGGGCGCGTGTGCGTGCGTGCCCAAGATCCCGAGAGGAGATTGGAGGAGAAGGGATTGCGGCGTGACCATCCCCCCTGGGGGGTGACTTCTTGCTTTCTGTCTCTATGTCTCTCTCTCTGTCTGTCTGGCGAGCGCACGCGCCCTATAGCAAAAACCTCTCAAAAAAAAAAAAAATTAAAAAAAAAAAAGAATTTGGATGAGCAATAAAGACCTATGTTAAGACAGACTGTAAAATCCCAAAGAAATTAATGAATTGAGATAGAGAAGAAAGTCTTACAAATAACAGAAACAGCAAGAATAAATAAAGCAGGATTAATTGTGATGTGTTTATGAGGAGGAGATACATTCTGTTACTTTCTAGGGTGTATTCTGTACATCTAGAAAAAGAAGGTTGAGTAGGCAGGCTGGAATCCTGACACACAGACGAATTTGAAAATGGTAAGAGAACATAAAAAATGTCCTAGCTTTGGAGGTAAGGAACAAAACAGCTCAAGGAAGGTCTGACTGGACACAGGACACAGGACACATTTAACAAGGAAGAGACAGGAGCTAGGGAGGTAGGCTGTGTGGTTGGTAACAGTGGACGAACAAAAGAGATGTTTCAAATAAATGGAAAAAGACGAGGGAATGACCAAATTTTGTAGTCCAAGTTATTTTTAAGGTTTTGATGACATGATACCATTGATTACAGAGGAAAGGGAATTTTCTTGGGGAAAAGGTAGGTTTAGATATGAAAAATTCTAGGTGACAGAAAGCTATCCAAGGATGGGACCAGTAGTTAGCATAATGGCTATGTCTCTGGACTCCCATGTAGTTGACCACGGTTCGAGTCCCCGACCCGGTGGCTTAAATCACAAAGTTTTGTATTATTAAATTTCTTTAATTAGTCTGTATGTACCATATAAAAAGATTAGGAACTACATCTAATAAATACTATGTATGCATTATCAATTATATATCATATTTTATAGGCAACAATATATTATTAGACTAAGTATCTTTAGTTCAGATTACTCAAAAATCTTATGGACCTAAATTACATAGGATAAATATTTTGAGGCCTGATATCCATAATTACCATGTTGTCCCTGAAAGTCTTTGGGGAATTTTATGTTTGTTGCCACTGTGGTCCAGGACAATACACTACTGTTACTAAACTAAAAAAGATAATAAGGGCTGGCAGGTGGTGTGGTGGTTGGGAACACTGGACTCCCACATGACTGACCATGATTTGAGTCCCAGACCTGACAGCTTGCTTTCTCACTTTCTCTCTCTCTCTCTGGCCAAATTAAAATAAATAAATAAATGTTAAATAAAATATATTTTTTAAAAAGGTAATAAAAACTATCATTAAAAAAAGCATTTTGGGGACCAGAAGTTAGCGTAATGGCTATGCTGCTGATTTCCCATATAGTTGACTGTGGTTCGAGTCCCAGACCCAGTGACTTAAACTCACACCGGGCACGTGTGCATGCATGCCCAAGGTCCCGAGAGGAGAATGGAGGAGAAGGGATTGTGGCGTGGCTATTCCCCCTGGGGGTGATTTCTCGCTTTCTATCTCTCTGTCTTTCTGGCGAGTGCACGCGCCCTATAGCAAAAACCTCTCCAAAATGAAAAGCATTTTGTGGTAACAATATTACTAGCAAAAACAAATATGAACAAAGCTCTTACTATCATTCAAATGAGACTAAACTGTCATTGCCCCATTGGCAATACACTATATAAAAAACAAGAACAGGAAGTTATAGTTATAGGTGCATAGTATGGTATCTTATACGATATAGTATAGCTTTTTTTTTTTTTTTTGAGAGAGAGAGAGAGAAAGATTTTTATGACAGGGCATGCATACTTGCTGGAGAGACAGAGAGACAGAAAGCAAGAAATCACCCTCCAGGGAGATGACCACACTGCAATTCTCTCTCCTCCATTCTCCTCTTGGGATCCTAGACATGCACACACGCACCTGGTATGAGTTTTAAACTGCTAGGTCCAGGACTTGAACGGCAGTTGAGTATGTGGGAGTCCAGCGACATAACCATTATGCCATCTGCTGTTCCCATATAGTATAGCATTTTACTGGAACAGGAAGTTATAGGTGCATAGTACATTATCTTACACTATACAGTACAGCATTTTATACTACATAAAAACTGGAACAGGAAGTTACAGGTGCACAGTACAATATCTTATACTATATAGTATAGTATTTTATACTACATAAAAAAACAAGAACAGGAAGTTACAGATGCACACAAGCCAAGCAGTTATGGAGAACTTGACATACTGCATTTCCTGACATTTGTGGCCCTAATTCTGAAACATACCAGTGGCAAGGAAGAGAACACTTCGGCACTTTGCTCTAAGCAAAAGAGGACAAAAGCTAGGCTGCAAAGGCTCAGTTCTGGATGTAACTCAGTTCCACAGACATGCATGAAACAATGAGGTCAGCATTACACTAACTACCAAATACCCATTTCCAAAGTGGTTTTAGCCACTTTCTGATATTCCATACCCCAGTGTTTTTCTTTTGAAGTTTTCTTTGGTTACAGAAATGTGGACTCTACAGGAAAGTATTTAAAAAATAAAATAAAAACGACGCTATAATTCCATCACACAAAAATGAAAAGCATATCTCCTTACAGATTTTGCCCAAGAATATACACTATGTTTACACAAAAATGGTGATCTCATCTTAGTCAGAATGCCAACTCTTAGAACCTTAAACTGGCTCATTCTTTCACTTAAAATATCAAAGGCAACTTCCTTTGTCTATATAGGTCGATGTCCTATTTTTAAATATTTTTTATTTTAAGACAGGATTTGGCCCCTGTCACAGTCCTTCTGCCTCGGGCTCCTAGCTGAGACTACAGGCATATACCACCATAACTAGTGCTTTCTTTCTTTTCTTTTCTTTATTTTTAATTTCTCTCTTTCTTTCTTTTTTGTTTTTAGTTTTTTGCCATAGGGTGCGTGTGTTTGCCACACAGAGACAGACAGAGGAAAAGTGAGAAATCACTCCCCAGGGTAGATGGCCATGCCACAATCCCTTCTCCTCCATTCTCCTCTTGGGATTTTGAGCATGCATTCATATATGCCCAGAGTGATTTTTAGGCCACTGGGCCCAGGACTTGAACTGTAGTTGGCCATGTGAGATTCCAGTGCCTTAACCACTATGCCACCTGCTGGCCCCTACCCGCAGCTCTTTTTAAAACAGGGTCTCACTATGTTGTCCAGGCCAGCCTCCAGCTTGCAATCCTCTTGCCTCAGCCTTCCCGAGTGGCTAGGATTACATGCAATACACCACTGAGTAGAACACTCCCATACGATAACTACACCAGTCACCAAAGGCAGATACAGGAAGAAAACGACATTATGCTGTATCTACAACTTGAAATTTAAAATGACTCTTCATACTGCCTATGGATCTGGTAACTTGAAACTAAAAGACAACACTTCTAATGTATTCCCTTGTATTTCCTAGAGTCGAATTTTAATGTGACAACTGTGTGAATAAATAAAAACCAATGAACCGTATACTATAAAACAGTGAAGCCTGTAGTATATGAATTCTATCTCAGAAAAAAAAACACTTAAAATCTACAATATGATGTAGCAAAAGTAAATACTATCAGAGAGAAATTCTCTAGGGTGAGGTGGAAAAAGTATGATGAATACAAAAGAAAAAGAGCAAATCTATTTTCTAAATCAAACAGAAAAAAAGATATCCTTTAGTTAAAAAAAAAAATCAACTGGTAATTTCAGAGGTTGACTGCAATCCTCCACTCCTTTACACTCATCCTTACGCCAAACAGCCAGAACTATGAGTACCCGGTAAGTTACCTTAGGCAATCCAATCTCGCCCATGGCATTCAACCACTGAATCACATTATCAGTGTGTCTAAAGTGGAGTCCAGTCGCCTAGAAGAAGAACAAAAATACCATTAGGCACTGTTGGCTATTTTGAAGCAATTTCAGTAACAAATTAAAACTCTCCCTGCAAGTTTCCTTATAAGACTTTAGAAGGTCCTCTTAAATTTTAAATCATTATGGGGGGCTGGCAGATGGCATAGTGGTTGAGGCGCTGGACTCCCACATGGCCAACCATGGTTCAAGTCCCAGACCTGGCAGCTTGTTTTCTCACTCTCCTTTCTCTCTGTCCATCTCTCTCTGATTGAAATAGAAGACTAAAGATAATAAATTAAAAATAAAGCTTTTAAAAATTTTTTTAAATCATTATGCTCACAATCCAATACCAAGAAGTCAAATCCACATACTGGCTCCTCTTAGGAACCAGGAGAATCTTCCTGTGCACAGTGTGCTTTGTCTTTGGAGTTACATTATCTTGGGTTTGACTCCTGGCTTGGCCACCTACTGGTAACACTGGACAAGTCACTTCACTCTTGAGTCTGAGTTCCTCCATCTCTAACACCTACTTTATAATCCATAGTAAAGATAAAATGAGATAATACGCATAAGGCGTGCAGTGTGGTCTCTGCATAAACAGAGATACCCACAAAATGACAGATATAATCAGGGCTTTCACGTAAGACAGAAATACCCCTCTAAGCCCCTGTGCCTGCTACTAGGAGCAAGAGGAGTAGAGAGATATAACTTTTTTTTAAAACCATAGGGCACATATATGCTCACCAGAGAGACAGAAAGATAGTGAGAGGGAAAGTGAGAAATTATCCCTCAAGAATCTGCAATCCCTTCTCCTCCTGGAATTCTGGACACACACACACACGCCTAGCATGAGTTTCAAGCCACCGGGTCCAGGACTCAAACCATGGTTGGCCATGTGGGAATCTAGTACCTTAACCACCGTGTGATCTGCTGCCCCCAAGGTAAAACTTATTTAAGGCTTATTTATTGAGTCATCAGGAAAGTTATGATGCATTTCTGCATAGAAAAACATTGCACAATATACCATGACTTTCCTGACAACCTAATACCTACTTCTTCCACAAGAGAGAAACAGAGACAGAGAAAGACAAGCAGCTTCAAGGGGGTGTTCACACTATGACCCGGCCCAGTCTCTGCCAACACAGATGATAAGCATACGGGTATGCCTGCTGCACAGAGGGTGACCCCGGGATGGGACCCTGGGACTTTTCTGTGTAGATCCAGTTGCACTATAACTGAGCCACTGTCTAGCCCAGGACTTTTTTTTTTCCATCATTGCTGCGAAAATCTCCACTCTCCTTTATTATTTGCTATTCTGTCTACAAGAAAAACTCCAGATTTGTCTTCAGAACAATTGCTTATTTAAATAAATCTTTGCCTTTTGGTTAAGAAAAGTTCCTGTGGGGACCAAAACATGGTGTAATGGTTACATTACTCGACTCCCGTGTAGTTACTATGGTTTGAGTCCTGGACTCGGTGGCTTAAAACTCACACCGGGCGCTCGTGAGAACATTTAAAAAAACCCGAGAGAAAAATAAAGGAGAAGGGATTGTGGTGGGGCCATCCCCCCAGGAGGTGATTTCTTGCTTTCTGTCTCTCTGGCGAGCACATGCGTCCCATATAAAAAAATTTCTAAAAGAAAAAAAAAAGAAATGTTTCTGTGAAAAAAAAATTTCTGTGTAGGACATTAATTTTGGCTGAGGACCTGTTATCTTCCTTGTTTTCTCTTTAATTTAAACATGAAAATGAAAATCTCTCTACACCATCTGCAGCCTTAGTTCCTTCTGAGTTTTGGCCAGTGCTTATAATTGGTCAAACTTGTATTTGCTCTTGGTTATGAAATCCTCCACTCCTTTTTATACTCCCCCCACGTGAAGTAAGAGCTCGCACGCCACCTCCCTATGGGAGCTCCATGGACAACAGAACTTGGTCCTTGTCAAAATCCCAACGTAGCGGGAACCAGCAGTTAGCGTAATGGCTATGTCGCTGGACTCCCACGTAGTCAACCGCGGTTCGTGTCCCGGACCCGGTGGCTTAAAACTCACGCCAGGCGCGTGTGCATGCGTGCCCAAGATCCCGAGAGGAGAATGGAGGAGAAGGGATTGTGGGGTGACCATCCCCCATGGGGGGTGATTTCTCACTTTCTGTCTCTATGTCTCTCTCTGTCTGTCTGGCGAGCACACACGCCCTACAGTGAAAATCTCTCCCCCCCCCCAAAAAAAAAAAAAAAAATCCCAATGTAGCTGAGCAGCCTCCTTTTGGAGGGCCCGGGGCCACAGGAATCAAATTCATCTCAATTTTCTGAAATTGGATCACTTTCCCATTTTTACCTTGAACTTCAATATTGCAAGCAATGCTTTTTCCTAAAGTTGCTATTGCTTTGGGACCAGCAGTTAGCATAATGGTTATGTCACTGGACTCCCATGCAGCCGACCGTGGTTCACATCCTGGACCCGGTGGCTTAAAACTCACGCCAGGCGCGTGTGCGTGCGTGCCCAAGATCCCAAAAGGAGAATGGAGGAGAAGGGACTGTGGCGTGGCCATCCCCCCCTGGGGGGTGATTTCTCGCTTTCTGTCTCTATGTCTCTCTCTGTCTGTCTGGCGAGCACACACGCCCTACAGTGAAAATCTCTCCAAAAAAAAAAAAAAAACGTTGCTATTGCTTTCAGTTTGCCAATAAATCTCAGTGCTCAGTCAAAATTAGATTTAGTCTAGCTGGCGGTGTGGCAATAACACAACTGGACCCTCATGGGAGATATCTTGAGTTCATGTCCCAGGGCCTTCTTGAGCATGCTAGGCACATGTATGTATGTGACCTGAGCTGGTTGAGACTGGGGTTCCTCATGGCATGAAGACCTTGCGGAGGATGCCTATCTCTCTGTCTCTCTCATGGAAGAAGTAAATGAATACACTTACATATATATGTAATTAAGGTAATAACGCCCCCAGGTTCTACCTTTCTAGAAAAACTCATTTGGACTATGAAATTTCTAGCTACACATCATTGTTAGAATTCTACCAGAAATACACATTAAAGTTCTACTTGCTCCATTTTGCCAGGCAGTTGGAAGGCCATATTTTGTTGGAACAAACACAGCTCATATATATATATATATATTTTCAATAACTCTCACACAGTACAAGGTATGCTAAACTTCTTTCTCAGATTCCAGAAATCTAAGCACCAAGTAAAGCACTCACCTTGTATCTGGTCTGCTCTCGATCATAGATTTTTTTCGGGGACACCACTTTGGGAGAAAAGAAGTTTCCTAGTTTGGCGAGGTAGACCCCATTCCTAAGTCCCTCCTCCAGTTCTGTGGTGGGTGGCAGATCCTCCCCTAGACATGCTTCCATCCACCTGTACCAAAGAAAGAAGATGAAAAAAAAGACAAAAAGTCAGAACTTGCTCCCATTTTTTTAGAATTATCTTATTTAATCTTATTAATTGGCACCAGCAGTTGTTGTAATGGTTATGTCACTGGGCTTCCATATGGTCGACTCTGGTTAGAGTCCCGGACCTGGTGGTTTGAACTCAGGCCATGCAGGTGTGCGTGCGTACCCAAGATCCTGAGAGGAGAATGGAGGAGGAGGGATTGCTGCGTGGCCATCCCTCCTGAGGGGTGATTTCTCGCTTTCTGTCTCTCTTGTGAGCGCATGCTCACTACAGCAATAACCTCTCTAAATAAATAAGTAAATAAAAATAATCTTATTTATCATCACATTATTATTTTAATTTGCAGAGAGAGAGAGAGAGAGGGAAAGCAAGTTGCCAAGTCCAGGACTTGAACCACGGTCAGCCCATGTGGGAGTTCAGCTCCTCAGAACTCATCCTTTAAGCTTAAAATCTTAAATTCCATTCTCCTTGGCCAGGTTTAATTGAAACATGGAAACACTACTTTAAGGCCCAATTCCACACACACATACCCTGGCCCTAGCCCAGTTCCAGACCTCAGTGATAGGAGATTCACGAATACTCCTGTGCATGAAAGCCACCTTCTCCTACCCTGCTTTCCTCCGCTGCAGTAACAGAGCCCGCCAGCTGGCTCCCCGGGGCATAACTGCCCCATGAACCTCAGACCCTTCCCCTCAGTCCTTAAGCTACTCCTTAAGAAAAACCATTTGTAATTGAAGTGCCATCTCAACTGTTCAGACGCTTACATTTATACTAGTGTTCTTCTCCAGTTTCAGAATTCAGAACCCACACTGAATGCCTAGGTTCAGGTTTTAAGTTATCTTGAAGATAACAAAACAGAGTCAATTAGCTCAGCTAAAATACTGAATGAAAATGTCTATGGAAGCAGTAAATAATGATTTGTTAAGTGTTTTTTGAAGGTAGGGAGGAGGCTGTAAAGAGGAAAGGAAAAGAAAACTAATTTTTTTCTCTTTCAAATCTCTCACCAGATTTCAGGGAAACAAGAAAACAAAACAAAGGTTAGTCGCATATACTCTACCAACAGAAAACTAAAAATCATTCAAGGCAATAGTTTTTAACCGATTTTTGAGCCGCAAAATCCTCTAAATATCTGAGGAACACTATAGACCTTTCTTCGGAAAAATGTACATAACACTTAAAATGTACATATAATTTCAGAGATAGCACTGACTTTAAGAACACCTAATTTTGGGGCCAGCAGATGGCATAATGGTTACATCTCTGTACTCCCACATAGTTGACTGTGGTTTGAGTCCCAGACCCGGCAGCTTAAACTCATGCTGGACATGTGTACATGTGTGCCCAAAATCCTGAGAGGAGAATGGAGGAGAAGGGATTGCAGCGTGACCATCCCCTCCAGGGGATTTTTCTCAAATTCTACAGAAGACCTACTCAGGCTAAATTCTACCTTTAAAGCAGCTGGCATATTGTCTCACGCTAAACAGGTACTTAAATAAAAGCTGGATGGGTATGTGACGGGATTACAGAATCTTCTGGTTCTTGCCCATACTCAAGGATAAGAAGCTTCTCTGGCTTTTCTCTCAAGTGGTAGATCTTCAAATGGTCAGAAAGGGAGGGAAAAGAAACAAATGAGTTTTCCAGAAGAGTTGCCATAGTAACCAGATTAGACATCAATTTGTAACACCTACAAAATCCATCCCTCCACAAGAGCCTGATGTTCAGAAGGGCCGTGTGGGAAAGAATGGCAGCTGCCGGTATGGAAAAGAGTTGGAGCCCAAGGACACACCTCACATGCTGGTCCTTCCAACATTTTACTACTAAAAAGGAAATGGACAAAATCTTTCTGGCAAGCAACTCCTGGCAACCTCCGTTCTCTGGGGACGCTCTAACTTGGTTTCTCATTAACAGGGACAAACCTAACAATGATAGCCTAAGCCAAAAATAGCCCTCTGGCACTCAACACCACAAAGGAAAAATTTACTTATTTTCTTCTTAAAAATGAGGTGAACGCACAGCAGGGAATATGGACAAATAGCACAGCTGCACACAACGTTTTTGTGCACAGAAAAACATGTCACAACTTTTCCAAGGACCCAATATATTGAACATTTATGTCATTTCTGAATGTTTTCAACCTGGAAATAATACTGCAAGAGACTTTTTTTATTATTTGACCAGACAGAGAGGGAAAGCAAGAAAGCAAGCAGCCAGGTCTGAGACTCGAACTGCAGCCGGCCATGTGGGAGTCCAGAATCCTGAACCACCAGACCACCCGCCAGCCCCAAGAGACATTTTTGTACACAATATTCTTCTGTACTTAGAAACAATTCCTTCGGAGGGGTCTTCAGAAGTATAATTCCAAAATAAAAAAATATTAATATTTAAAAGTGCCTAAAAATGCTCTAAGACCTTTATTCAAATTTGGCCTTTAGTAATATATTTTTTAAAGAATTTTTAAAATTTAACTTTATTTATTCTTTCAATTTGACCAGAGAGAGGGGGAGGAGGGGAGTAAGAAAGCAAGCCACCTGGTTTGGGACTCGAATAGCAGATGGCCAATGTGGGAGTCCAGCGCCCTTAACCACCATGTCACCTGCCAGCCCCAGTAATAGTATGTTTACATATATATATATATTCTTTTAAAGAATTATTTTTAATTTTAATTTTATTTACTCATTCACTTTTTTTTTTTTTTAATTCTGACCAGAGACAGACAGACAGAAAGAAAAAGTGAGAAAGGAAGCTACCAGGTCCGGGACTCGAACCATGGTTGGTCATGTGGGAGTGTCCAGCACCTTAACCACCACACCACCTGCTGTGTCCCCCCTAGTAATAGTATATTAATAGATTATTGATGTTTAAAGATCTGAAGTACATAGGCCAGCAGGTGGCATGGTGGTTAAGGAGCTGGATTCCACATGGCTGATTGCTTGGCTCAAGTCTTGGACATGTCAGCTTGAAAAACACACAAGGTGCATGTCCCTGCATGCCTGATTCCAAGAGGAGACTGGAGGAGAAAAAAATGCAGCATGGCTATCCACCTGGGGGGTGATTTTTTTTCTCCCTCTCTCTGGTTTTACCCTTTGGCAAAACTTAAACACTACAGAGGTAGAAGTCAGAAAAGATAAATAAAATGGTTAAATAAAAATCATCTGAACACTTGAGCTAGCTAAATAACACAATGTTAACGTATGGCTTGGCTCAAGGGAAGCTGGACACAGATGGCATCCATGGTTCAAATCCCCAGCCAGCTCAGACTGAACACATACGAGGCATGCATACATGTGCCCAAGATCTAAGGCTGGAGGACTAGAAGAGGGCCACAGCATGACCAGAGCCTACGGAAGACACTCATAACTCTCCTGCTCTCCCAGCGCACATGCACTTTTCACAACGGGGGGTTAAGGTGCTGTATCTCACATGGCCAGCTGCACAGTATGAGTGCAGGACCTGGAGCTTGAAAAGTCACACTGGGAACACATGTCTGCATGCCCAAAATCCTAAGAGAAGACAAAAGGAGAAGGGACTGAGGGGTGGCCATCACCCTGGGGACTAATTTCTCGCTTTCCCTCTCTCTTAGTCTCTGGCAAGTACATGCAGTAAAAACTAAAAAACAAAACCTTATTAAGTATTTAAATTTTTATATGCTGGGGCTGGCAGATGGCGTGGTGGTTAAGGGCATTGGACTCCCACATGGCTGGCAATGGTTTGAGTCCCGGACCTGGTGGCTCTCTCTCTCTCTCTCTCTCTCTTTCATCCTGGACCTGGCAGCTTGCTTTCCCACTTTCCCTGTCTCTCTCTCTCGATCTGTTCAAATTAAAATATATCAATAAATAAAGTTAGGGACCAGCAGTTAGGGTAATGGCTATGTCGCTGAACTCCTACGTAGCCGACCGTGGTTCGAGTTCCAGATCTGGTGGCTTAAACTCACACCGGGCACATGTGTGTGCGTGCCCAAGATCCAGAGAGAAGAATGGAGGAGAAGGGATTGCGGCGTGACCAACCCCCTGGGTGGGTGATGTCTTGCTTTCTAGCTCTCTGTCTGTCTCTTTCTTTCTTTCTTTCTTTTTTTTTTTGGAGAGGTTTTTGCTATAGGGTGCATGCGCTCGCCAGACAGACAGAGAGAGAAACACAAATAGGTAATTCATCAAAGAAATATAAATGGCCAGTAATTCTATGACCATTTCTCAATCTCACTACTAATCAAAGAAATGCAAATTGAAGTAACAAGTAATAATAACACTGTCATTGGCAAAGGTAAACAATGATAAGGGGCCAGCAGGTGGTGTGGTGATTAAGGGCACTGGATTTCCACATGGCTGACTGCAGCTGGAGTCCTGGACCGGGCAGCTTGCTTTCTCACTTTGTAGGTCTGTCTGTCTCTCTCTCTCTCCCCCCCACCCCCGGGCAAATTAAAATGAATAAATATAGTAAAATAAAATAATTCTTTAAAAATAAAGAATGATAACTTATTACTGTTCAGTGTGTGGGAAAACTCCACATTCTTATGCAGTTCTGGAAGAAAACGTGGCACCATGTACCAGCTATTGCAAATGTACAGAAACTTCTCTAGAAGAAAAAAGAAAAGGTTTTCTTTTTAAAAGATGATTTGGTGACTTGTGGCATGGATGACTAAATTAAAGATGATGCCAAGACTGGGGACATCCACCAAAGAAACAAAGGATGACAAATGCACGCCAGAACCCGCGTTCACCTGAAACGCCAATGGCACAGGCAGTAGCGATACCCTGCAGGCTGCTGGGACACAAGTCCCGACCTCATGAGGGGAGGCCATGCTGCAGAACCACGTGTGAAACAGGGCGCCATCTTCAAGTCTGGTGATGGCTGAGTTCACCAGGGAAACGGCATGCAGGGAGAAGTGTTAAAGATGAAGGACTGTGCCTTGGAGAACACCCAACATTTGAAAGATGAGAGAGAAAAAGACAACCACTATGGCTGAATAA